GTTATATGTAGTACTTATGGGCCCATGTAGATCCAAACCCCATTACTCAGCCTTATTATAGCTCAGTTTGGTATTACTTTTTTCTCCCAAAATCAGTTTCTGCTTGTAGCAGAAATTAATTTTAGTGTTTAGTAAATCTCTTTAAAAGTGTTTTTTGAAAAATTTTTCAAGAATCTACAGCCAAAATCAGAAGCAGCCTAAAGATAACTTTAACTTTTAGATTGTGCGGGAATTAACATAGTACAATTAATAAAACTTTCATAATACCCATAATACCCTTAATAAAATTTAAAATTTACAATATTTTCAATCTAAAATTCAAACTCGTAATATAATATAATATAATATAATAGCAATATTGTAACAAATAATATCATAATTATATTAATAACTATAATATTATTATTTTATCATATTATATTATATTATAATAATATTATAATTATTATAATAATATGATATTATAATAATATTATAATTATTATAATAATATGATATTGTAATTATTATATATAATATATTATATATTATATTGTATTGATATAATTATATTTATTATATCAATAATATTACAATACTATTATTACATGATATAATTATATTAATAATAATATAATAATTAATATAATTAAATATTAATATAATCTTATAATTTTAATATTATTATATATTATAGTGTATTACACACGTTATGATTATATAATATATTTATTTTATATAATATACTAATGATTATATAATATATTATATTATATTATAATACAATATAGTTATAATTTTTAATTATATTATAATTGAAATATTAATATTTTTTATGTATTATTATAATATCTTTTATAATATTGTAATTATATTAACCATTTTAATAATATTATTATATTATATATATTATATTGTAGTTATATATATATATATTATATTACAGTATAATATAATATAGTCGTAATTTTTAATTATTTACAGCAATTCAATCTCATAATTTACTAAATACTATTATACTGATTTTGAAACCATCACAACTACTATAATTATAGTTTACCAAACACTCAACTGCTTTTTGTAACAACTACTTTTTCCTTTAGCAGAGTTAAAAGCAATTTTTCTAAAACCTACAGCACTACCAAACTAAGCATGTGTCCTACCGCTTCTAGCCCACGAGTTCAGTTTGTCTTCAAATGTTGATGAGTTTCCGAAAATCTCCCTCCAAAAATGACAAATATGGGGTTTTAATGGAAAAAATACCAATTGATAGGGCCTTTTTTTTTTCATTTTTGAAATGGTGTTTTGAATGTTATAACTTAGGTTTTATTTGGTTACAGGGATGGAGACTTGTAGAGGGAGACGGGATGTTAAAAGAATATATGAAATTATTATTTATCTAATAACGGTATTGTTGTTTTACTATTTTATACTAATTTTTTTTAATAATATTTATCTTTTTAAACTTTAATTGATAGATTGCATAAATTCTTTCTATTAAACATGCTTTACCCTCTAATCAAATAATGAATTATAGCTCTCTCTCCCACTCGATCAATATCACTCACTGGCCTTGGCTACTTCATCATAGTCTCGGCAGATCTTGTTTTCCATACCAGATGCTCTGTCCTTTCTTTTTTGCACAATTTTTGAAAAAAAGATAGAAGAAGGTGAGTTTTTTGACCTAATCTATTTATGAACCGACCGAGCGTTGTTCTTGATCTCAATTAGTACGGTCCCTCTCTCTATCTCTCCTTGCAACCAAACACACTCTTATTTATCCTCATCAGTTTTGTCAATTTAACGTATTTTTTATTTTGATATGATTTTGGTCTCATGATTAGCATAGACATAATTTACGTCAGTTTTGGAACAACTTCTTCAACAGATAAAAAATGAGGTGATCTTAGATAGACAAGACTTGGTCGAAAAAAATCAAATAGGATTATTCATGTATCTAATATTTTCCTAACAAGTATCTTGTTTTTGTTTGTTAACGATGAAGTAATTAGGCCAGCAAAGACACGAATTATCTGGAAAGTGGGAACTGGATATTACTATCGCGTGTAGAGGACGAAGACACAATAGTATGAAAGAGATCGGCCTCCAAATTAAGACAATATCTTAAGCCTAGTTCATCTTGAAACACAAAAAACAAAAATAAAAAAGAGGAAAATTTTCTATTTTGTAAATAGGAGAACATGAGGTAACCGGAAAAAAAACAAAAACAATCAAATCACTTCACATCATTTCAAATATTTAAAATATTTTTTGATTGATTTTTTAATAATTTTTTAATGTTTGAGTCAATTAGATGATATATATGAAAAAAGATAAATGCTAACGTCACTCTACGATATTAGAATCTACATGTCAAACAGATGCATAAAGTAATAAAAAGAGTAATAAAAAGAGTGATGCTAATATCTTTCTATGGTAAAATATGATTGATTAAACATTATTTGGTACTCTAAAAATTTAACAAGTAATCTAAATTCATATGTATATATGTATGATTGATTAGTCACCACGTACACATTTTTTGGCCAATGGAATAACGCCAGGTTTGGGTCGTTTTGCCACCAGACCAAGGACATAATCATGTGTAATTTGTTGACATGCCGAGCCCTTTGTTTTTTTTTTTCTTTTTTTTTACTTGAAAACCAGGATCGTCACGACCACTCACCGTTAAGGTTTGGTTTTATTAATTTTGGTTTTTGTTTGAGATAATGCTTCTCTATCGTGATTACATGACAAAAAACTAATCAACTTCAAACATCATTCGTGCGGTTCAGAATTAACCCATCGCTTTTGATCTCAAAAATTATGAACCACGCTTTTGTTGTCTAAAATCACTTAAAAGTGTGAAAAAAATTTCAGGATCACCCCTTTTTTTTGTTTTTTTTGTCAATATTAATTGAGTTAATTTCCATGAATTATTGTGTGATAACCAAGCAAGGATTTTATGGTTATCATGATAATATACCTACATATTGTGTCTTTTGCGTTTCTAATGATTGAAGACAAATTGCTGAATAAAGACACACATATGTTAGTTCTAAATGCTCGACATTTGTAGAAAGCTTTTGTTGCCAGTCTCACACGACAGAAAGTAAAGATTTTCTTCAGATCTGTTGGAAATATGGGAAAATATCATTTTTGAACCGTGTCGTTTTTAACTTTATCAAATCTCGGTGCTTTGGTGGTCGAGAAATCACATTGAAATACCCTATTATTGCAAAGACAAATTATTTAAGTACTCTGTCTACCTTTTAAATTTAAGATCTTTTTGTAACATAAAACCAGTTTTTTAGTTTTTCTTTTAAATAAAACATCATCTCAAAAAAAAAATCTAAAAATACTAATCTTTTTTTTCATCGGAGAATATTTGAGAGTGAATGGGTAAAATATCCAAAAAAAAAAAAAAAAAAAAAGAGCTCAGGGTACCTAAAAGATATGCATATATATATATATATATATATTTTTTAATAACATGATGGGATACACAAGAGTACTAATTTGATCATAAATTGCCAAACCATTCCATAAGGATATAATTAAGATTGTACTAATTAATTAACAACTACAGGAATTTGAAACTAAGGGAGAAAAACGAAAAACTAAGGGAAATCAATTTGTAGTAAAAAGTAAGAGGCTTGATTTAGCTTGGTTTTCAAACTCAAAGAAACAGACAAGAAAAATGATGAATACGCAAATATTGTGAAAAACGGTAAAACAAATAATCTTCATTCATCGATGTAGATAGATAGTACTCATTACTCGCTCATGTGACTTATAGTTCCCTCTGCCTGACAACACTGGAAGATATATACACAGAATAAAAAGTCGTGTATATGTATGTGTGCGTGTGTATATATACATATATATGTGTGTATGATACATACTTGTGTGCGTGTGTATATATACATATATATGTGTGTATGATACATGTGTGTATATGCATATAATTTAGCCATCCTTTGTATTATCTCTTCATTCGTGACCATATCTCAAGGCAGGCACATCCATACAAGTCATGGATATGTGGCAATAGAGAGACCTCTCCAGATAGGAATGGGATTTAATCAAATTGATATATGCATATATAATACAATAATATGAAAGTGAGGGATTTTTTTTTTTTTTTTTTTTGAGACACAAAGTGATTGGTAAAAAGAAAGCAAAATATCAGAATTATCAGGCTTGGTGACAAAAGGTGTGGGGGACTAATACGGTGTCGCTTTCACTCTAGCCTGTACAAGCATTTGATGTCTCTTGGCAACACATAGGACGGATCAAGATGCTCCCATGCATGCATATCTGTGGCCTGTGGCCATCTCTTCAAAATCTGCACATACATTAATACTCTTAGTTTTTTTCTCCACCCAACAACACCATGTGATGTCATATATATATATATATATACACACACATTTATGTATGTATGTATGTGTGTGTATTAATCCCGCCAAAAGAAAAACCTCCATAACGTTCACAGTGGACCATAGTACTAACCATACTAATTAAATATCAAACAAAACTTTCATGACATGTATATATGCTTGGAAGTGATCAAAATTTTGAGTGTTGTACGAAAAGCATGTTAAAATTAAGTTAATACAGAAAGGAGCGCGAGTGCGTGTGTGTGTGTGTGTGTGTGTGTGTGTGTGTATATATATATATATATATATATACGTGTGTGAAGAGTTATTGGCGTACATGTATGAATATATGATGTATGTACATGCATACTGATCAAATGGTATGGGGGATAAAAACTTAAAAAAAGCAGCAGATATACGGTTGTCATACAGGTTTCGAGTAGTAGGTTTCTTCACCTCCTTTTTATTTGTCTTTTTCTAACTTGTTTTGTTTGGAATTGGATGGCAAGAAGTCACGTGAATCGCTTTTCAGGCTCTCTTCTAATTTCTTCGCCTCTTTTCTCTCTAATCATAAGACCCTTAATTAACTCCATTTATATATAAGTCTCCAGCTCCTATCCCCCTTAGGGAAAAAAAAAAAAAAAAAAAAAAAAAAAAACCCTCCATTATTCCTGAGTCCCTTTTTTAAGTTTTTAGGGCCTTGTTATATTCTCTGTACAAACCCTATCCCGTATTCTCCTCTTTTGCTGGACTGCTTAAGATCTCCAACGTCTCTCTCTCTCTCTCTACCGATGACTTCGGTTTTTCTGAACCCACCGCACTCTTCTTTTTCTGATCTTGTAGAGCAAAAAGAAGATCAAAAGCTTAAACTCTTCATTAATTCACAGTATAACGAAGCATCATCTTCTCTTTCAAGCCCTACAGCTTATAATTTCTTTAACTCCAGTACTCAAGATCAAAGAGGGGGCTGTGAAGTTATAGGATCACAACAACGCGATCAAAAGGTAATTAAATTATAATACATCCACATTATATATGAACGCGGAACGGACTAATTTATTTGTTCGTTTTTCATGGTTTATTGGTTAGATTTCAAAATTCGTCCCCTTTCAGAAATATAACATATAAATTGTATAACAAGCTAGCTAGGTCAATCGTTTCGATAAGACCTTTTATATTAATTTGATCCTGATTATTGTATTTTATATATATATATATATAAACGCAGCTATATGAGATCATTGTAGAAGTACGATCTTTTAATTAATTTATAGCTAATATGACGTTATCCCATGACTCTTAAATAAATTCTTATATACTTAATGATAGTTTTATATTGTGGTCCACGCCTATAGCTGGTTAAATTACTTCTCATGGTACGAAGTTTGCTCTTTCAAGCTAATATGATCCTAATAATTTGATCGATCGGATCTCCATTTTTGTCCCTTTTTTTTTTTAGTTTTATAATAATATGGCAGGAAGGACCAAACATAATCAAGTATTAATCTCATCTTCATCTTCTTCTTCTTCTTCATTTCAGGCTGTGATTGATATATTCAGTATCAGTACTAGCCAAAACTTACACATATGCCAAAGAGATCGTGAGGATAATATTGGAGATCCGGATCATGAGTATAATAATAAGAGTATGAATAATAATGGTTCAGTAAAATATTGGATGTCCTCAAAGATGAGATTGATGGAGAAAATGTCCAACCCAGAAACGTGTGCGACAAGTACTGATGACAAAGGAGAGAAAACTGCGCATAAAGTATTACAGTACAGTCCTCGGCAAGACAATTCTGGACAAGCGAAATTCAACCTTTCTCAAAGCAACAGGACTACTGTTAGGGTTTGTTCCGATTGTAACACCACCAGTACCCCACTTTGGAGAAGCGGTCCTCGAGGTCCTAAGGTGATCATCATCATTATTATTATTCACTTTAATCCCTTAATTAATTTTAATTCTAATATGTATCCATATATATACTAGCACTAACAAAGCCAAACTGATTAACCTTTTCTTCGCCTAGAAAAGACAATTAAGCCAAATAAAGACAAACCTAAACACCATACCCCATCACTAATTAATTTAGCAAATAATCTCACAATTTTCTTTTGATGACGAAATAATGTCACTATTTCACATGTTTCTTTCGATGATGAAACAATTCCAATAATATATAAACTATATTTTATGGTTGTATACATTGTCTAACAGTAAATCTACATCTGATTTTATCTTGAGTTGTAGAGTTCAATTTCTACACTTATATATATATATATATATATAACCAACAAACTATTATACGGTAATTTAGTTAATACTTAGCAAACTGTCTTATACTATACATTATATATAATATATATGCTTATGTATATGATAAGATATTTATAATAGAGGTAGAGATGATCACTAAAAGCCAATAATGTGTTGGTGCAGTCACTGTGCAATGCCTGCGGCATTCGGCAGCGGAAGGCGAGACGGGCCATGGCAGAAGCTGCAGCCGCCGCAAACGGTCTGGTAGTTGCCGCTGACAGTACTAGCACTGCAGCCCCTAATTATACACCTACAAAAGGTAGTGCTGCAAGTACTTCTTACTACAAGACTACTCAGTACCACATTAACAAGGAGAAGAAATCGCGTGGCAATCACATTTCGCACTACAAGAACAAGCTCAAGCTCAAACTCCTCGAAACGAAAAACGACAATATTAATGATAAGCACTGTTTAAACAAGTTTTCTTTTGGTCTCAACGTCGACAACTGCTCGGCCTTTTCCGGAGTATTTCCAAAGGATGTTGCTGAAGCCGCCGTCTTGCTAATGGAACTCTCTTGTGGCTTTGTTCACTCTTAATTAGATTTTATTTTATTTTTCCATTTCTATTGTTATTTTGTTTCCCTTTTTTTCCGAATCTTTTTGTTTTCTTCTCTTTTTGAGGTACGTAGGTCATCAGCCAGGATTTTTTTTTTTTTTTTTTTTGTATCCCTTTTTGGAGAGAGTACTTTTGAGATATTTTGAACATGTTGCCACACAGTATAATAATGTTTGTGTGCTTCCGTGTCTTTCAAATTACGAAAATAATAAATATTTTAACATTTTTAAATCGGTTAACAAATCATTCACAACATGAAATACCCAGATAATATTCTTTTTTTTACTGGTCAAATTAATACAGTAATGTGCTATTTAAATACTACACTAGTATATACGAGGGAAATTCATTACAAGGCAGCAAGAGAATAAATTTTTGCCACATTTTGATAAAATTACAAGTCTTTTTTTTTTTTCGTAAATGCGTACAATAGATCTGATTGCAAAGCGATTAGTTTTAGTGTTTTTTTTTTTTTTTTGGTTAAAAATATAGAGCTTAGTTTTAAGTTGGTCCGTGATAACTTGAAATATTCTCTTTCTGCTTTCAGTACTGTGTACACTTGACTGTAATAGTGTAATAGCTTTACATGGTACTGCCTAAAAAGAGCTTAACGTAAATTTACCAATTACAAGATTGCTCCAAATATATATATATATATTATAAAAACGCAATTCAATTTTAAAGGCTGGACGTTGAGAAATATCAACTATCCAAAAGGCAATGGAAACAAAAAAAAAAAAAAAAAAGGAAACGGGAATGGCCCAACTCTATTGGACCATTGTCTGTTTAGCCCATCTTGGGCGAAACTTTACATCAGAAGAAATAGAAAAATAGATCAAAATTTGAGATGAATTAAAATTAATAGGCTAATAGTTTATATAAGTTAATAAATAGGTTAAATTACTATTTTGTCCATAACTTGTCTGGTTATGAATCATAACTTAACAAGTTATTATCCATAATTGTCCATAACTTGTCTGACTATGAACCATAACTTGACAAGTTTGTCCATAACTTATCTGGTTATGAACCATAACTTGACAAGTTATGATCTATTAATTTATATAACTAAAAATTAGCCTATATACTTTCTTAAGCTTTTCATATTGGCCTATTTTCTACTATTTCCCCTTTACATTTCGGTTTGGGCAAGAAAAAGATTTGTCACTTTTCTTACTACCATTAAAATTGGTAGCTCTTTTACGAGTAAGATTTGTGCAAGCTTTTTCTTTCTTTACTTTTTTAGGGTAAGATTTGAGGCCATTGGAGCTTAATATTTCACAATTTTAATGAATTCTTAGTATTTTTCTGAGCTAATTTTCGTCCCCACTCCTCGTAAATTCAAACATAAACATTGATTAAGCATTAAAATACATATCAGCATCAACGATGTTGTGTAGTCCGCGACGGGGTTGGTGGTAGCAGGTAAGGATGCAAGTGTTTCTTCCTTTTTTTTTTTTTTTTTTGCTAGTGAGGTAAGGACGTAAGGTTATAAATGGAATTAAAAGCCTACAAAAACTTATATTTAGGATTTTGCATCTAAAAATGGTAGGTAGATCATAGTTTCATTTATTATTGTTTAATTTCACAAGAACTGCAAATAAAACGTGATGAATTTTGGCAAGCAAGAATACTTTTGTTGATAAACTTGTTATTTATATCTTCTCCTCTTCCTGAGAGAAAATCTCTCCTCTTCCTCCTCTCTTTTGGCAAAAAATTAGTAACTTTCTTCTCCCTCTAGCTAACTACGTTTTATTCTTTGTCTATTTTCTTCAAAAGAACAGTAAAAGTCTCTTAATACATATATCTCTCCATTTACAGCCTACAACTAATATATTTGGTCCAGTAGAGGTATGTGTGCGACTCGTATTCTAAAAACTCACTTTTTACTGTATTTTTCTAAAATTTTAGTTATTTGATCTCAATTTTAAAAAATAAATATATAATTTGTACTCCCACTCAACAATTAAATCATATAACCACGACCTCCTACTCTGATACTATGCTAGTTTACCAATTCATCTCAAAAACTTAAACTATTAAAAAGTATGCCAACAATAGTTTTATCTCTATTTTTTTTTTCAAAATGCCCCTACTGAAAGGAAAAAAAAAAAAAAAAAAACAAAAAAAAATTGATTCATACTTACGTCACTTAAATGTTGATTTCAACGTAAATGGAAGTGTCATATAAATAGATACCAATTTATAAGATACTTTGTTAAACCATTTAAAATGCTCTTCTTAAACAGCAACTTTAAGTTGAAATTATCTCGGAAAAGAGGAAAAAAAATTTTTTTGACGTCAAACGGTCTAAACCAAAATGTTGAAATTTGGGGATGAAATGAATAGAGAGAAGAGATGAGAGTGAGAGTGAGGAAAAGTGTGGGTGTGTTTTTTCGAAACTCATCTGACGGTTAGATTTTGTTCCCTATCTCAATCTCAAATGAATCAAGGAGTAGAAGTAGGAGTAGGAAAACCAAAAAAAAAAAAAAAGAGAGAGAGAGAGAGAGAGAGAAAATAATGCAACTTGAGATTTATCGTGTATTAAATAGCTTATCATTTTGTTATTCAATCATATATTATGGAGAATATTCTACCTCAAAATGTAGCTTGGTCTAATTCATTTTACCGATTTGAGTTTTACTACAGTAAAAAACTCTTATAAATAGTCACATTTAATTTTTTTAATAAAAAACTCTCACATAAAGTCATATCTCAATTCGAATTAAAAAATCGAATCAGCGAACTAAACGGACTCTTATATAGGCACACACACTCTACATACACATGCACCGGGGATTTAGAGCCCGTTTAGTAAAGGAATTCGTTTCCTGATTTGAATCATGATTCGTGGTTCGCTATAGTATTTTTTCTCATAAAAAATATACGTAAATTGAAAATAATTCTAATCACATGGTTCTAATTCAAGAAGCATACTTCACAATTGCCTGCCGCACAGTGTAATACCAGAATGAGATTCATAGTACGTATAGGACGCTTTCAAAAATGCATCTATTCAACAAATAAAATAAGAACAATAATAGGCAAAAAAAATAATAATAATAAAAATGCTATGGAGCTCGTTTTAGCCGCGCATTAATGTCGACTGGCATACAAAATCCTTAACATTATATTCTTTCATTAAAAAAAAGGATGATATGACGTGTCGTTCAAACCTCAAAGAATAAAAATATAAAAGAAAAGAAAAACAAAACAAAAATATCACTGCATGTTATAGTTCTTGGATATCCCATGAATTTTAAATCGCTTTATGCGAAATTTAAGAGATTTTTACGGTGAAGTTTGAAAAGATAAAGTACATGAATTTTTTTGTTTTTAACGGTTATATTTATATTAAAAATAATTTTTTTATATTTTTTTTGTTTTAATGTGATTTTAATTAAATTTAAAGATTATCGGTAGAATACCTTATCGTAAAAGGACTCGTGAAGTTGATCCTGAATGAGCATTTTTTGATGTGTTTAGAATTAATTTCGTTTTTATTTTTCATATTTTTTGAGAAAAAATAGAAACATTTCCATAACAGCGTTTGGCGCAATAAAAACTAAAAATAAAAATAAAAATGATTTTTTGATTGGTGTAAAATGAGATAAAAATGAAAAATATATTTTAGTCAATTTTTAATTTTTATTTTAGTTTTCTCATCTCTCAAGCAGAGAGAGAAAGAGAGACATTAATAAGTTTTTTTACACTAAAAATAATTTCTTAATAAAACTATAAAACGCATTTTTAAAAATAATTTTTATCTCAAATTAAAAACGTTTTCATTTTTATTTTCATATAAAAATAAAATTATTTTAAAACGAGTTCTAAAAACGTCATTTATTCTTCTTTTATCCTCCAGTTCCACCACTTTTTTCTTGGCTTTTCTTTAACAGATATTATTTTGGCCCTTTTTTATTTAAAAATCCGATGGAATCTGAGATGACTCATTAAAAAAAATCATAAACAGTGAATAGGTCGCGCAAAAAAAAAAAAAAAAAAAACTATGGCCTAAGTTGATATTGGTCCACGACTCCACAACTCAGCATAAATTTTTTCTCTTTGTCCTCTATTTTTTTTTTTTGATAATTTTGTTCTTTAATTATTTATTCTTGCAAAGAACCCGACTTTTTCCCTTTAAACATGATTTTCCTTGAATCCCGTCTCTGCGACAGTTTCGGTGTATGCCCATTTTAGTCTACTGTCCTTGGCAATACTATGGTCTCATTTATTTTCTCAATTTGAGTTTATAATTCGAGTTTTATTATAGTAAAAAGTTCTCAGAAACAGTCACATTTAATTTTTTTATTACAGTAAAAAATTCTCACATAAAATCAAATTTCAACTCAAATTATAAACTCAAATCAGCGAAGTGAACAGACTCTAAACGTATTAGAGCATTCAGTCAAATCAACAGCCGTTAATTTCTCTGCCTAGTCTTCCTATCCAACGCTCCTGCACACATAAACATGACCAGAATCGTATCTACCACAAAATCGAACAATAATTATTGTCGTTTTCGGACTCTCTGACTAGATTTTAGTTATTATTCTAACAGACGTACAAATGTCAGCCACAACCGGCAAACACAGTAATTTCCAATAATACCCTCCACCACATCCGGCGGGTCCCACCCAGCAAATCACAAAATTCCCAGATATGGGAATGAGCTAAAAAAAAATTAATTTTTATTTTCCGACAGTGATGGTTCCAAAGAACCCGTGTTAATTTGTGGTACAAACTACAAAAGACTGTTTTAGATCTGGGTCAATTTCATTGCTCCAAAAATCGTAGCCCTAGAAAATGTTTTGTTCTTATTATTGCCAGAGGCGAGACATATGGAGATTAAAGATAACCCAAATGTGAAAGAGAATCTGCCAACAAAGAAAAAGAATCTCTCTCAATTGAGGGGAAAAAAAAAATACTGAAAAACATTTGACACGTATTTTCTGCGTAGTAATCCCTTGGAGTGGCATTGAAACTCATTCAGATCCATTGAAACTCAATCTTCTTCACCTTCATTTCCTTCCATACATTCACCAAAAAACTTGTTATTTTCTCGTTGGTTGAAATACGATATCCTTCAAAATAAGAAAAAAAAAAATGTCTTTTTCCTTCATGGGTGTTTAGTCACTCACCACCCACCACCAAAAACCAAAATTTTCTCAATAAAAAGTTTTTATTTTTTTTCTTTTATATGTACGTTGTGTGTATTGTATAATATATATATATATATATAGACAAAAAAAACAAAAAACAAAAAACAAAACAAATGGTGTGCGTTATCATATCTGCAACCAAACCCACCATCCCATTTGCTTCACTCACTCCAATGGAATAATAACCCACAAAAAAAAAAAAAACAAACTTTATAAAGAAAGCAATTTTTCCTTTTTGTTCCCAACAACCCCCATAAGAACATAGCATAAAAGCTTTTAGTTTACGCTTCTTCGACCATATTCTTCTTTCAGTTTCAGCAATGGAACGAGCTCGGAGAGTGGCGAACCGGGCTTTCCTGAAACGACTGGTTTCGGAGGCGAAGAAGCAGTACCGCCAGAATGAGTCTCCCGCCGCCCTGCAAAACGCATCCTCTCCGATGTCGTACACGCCGTCGAGGTACGTCTCGTCTCTCTCCCCTTGTTCCCGCACAAGAAAAGGCATTCCCAGATCGGAAACGGCGTCGTACAATGTCGGCTACCGCGGAATCGGATCTCAGACCCGGTCGATCTCCGTCGAGGCGTTGAAGCCCAGCGACACGTTTGCCCGCCGCCATAACTCGGCCACCCCGGAAGAGCAATCGAAAATGGCCGAGCTTGTCGGCTTCGAGAGCCTCGATGCGCTCATAGACTCCACGGTCCCCAAATCCATCAGACTCGAATCGATGAAGTTCTCAAAGTTCGATGAGGGACTGACGGAGAGCCAAATGATCGAGCACATGAAGGATTTGGCGTCGAAGAACAAGGTTTTCAAGTCGTTTATTGGGATGGGGTATTACAACACCCATGTCCCCCCTGTGATTTTGAGGAATGTGTTGGAAAATCCTGCTTGGTACACCCAGTACACGCCTTACCAGGCTGAGATATCCCAAGGCAGGCTTGAGTCTCTCCTCAATTTCCAGACCCTTATAACGGATCTCACCGGCCTGCCCATGTCCAACGCCTCGCTGCTCGACGAAGGCACCGCCGCCGCCGAGGCAATGGCGATGTGTAACAACATCCAGAAAGGGAAGAAGAAGACCTTCATCATCGCGACCAACTGCCACCCCCAGACAATTGATATCTGCAAGACCAGAGCTGAGGGGTTCGATCTTAAGGTTGTTACGTCGGATCTTATGGATATTGATTACAAATCCGGGGATGTTTGCGGTGTTCTTGTCCAGTATCCGGGGACCGAGGGGGAGGTGTTGGACTATGGGGAGTTTATTAAGAATTCTCATGCCAATGGGGTTAAGGTTGTGATGGCAAGTGATCTGTTGGCATTGACATTGTTGACGCCGCCGGGCGAATTGGGGGCGGACATAGTTGTTGGCTCTGCTCAGAGGTTTGGTGTTCCGATGGGCTATGGGGGTCCTCATGCCGCATTCTTGGCTACTTCACAAGAGTACAAGAGGATGATGCCAGGCAGAATCATCGGCGTTAGTGTCGATTCGTCGGGAAAGCCTGCGCTGCGTATGGCTATGCAAACAAGGGAGCAGCATATTAGGAGGGACAAGGCCACTAGCAATATTTGCACTGCTCAGGTTCGAAAAAGGACTTAAAGTTTATGTCTGTCGAGTCTATAACAATGATTTGGCCTAGTTTTTATTAGAATGTTTTTGTTTTTGTGTTTTTTGGGTTTGTAGGCACTGCTTGCAAACATGGCTGCTATGTATGCTGTTTATCATGGACCTGAAGGGCTTAAAACGATAGCTCAAAGGGTTCATGGTCTTGCCGGGTTGTTTGCACTTGGATTGAAGAAGCTTGGGACTGTGGAAGTTCAGGGCCTTCCCTTCTTTGATACTGTCAAGGTCAAGACTGCTGATGCTCATGCAATTGCAGATGCTGCTTACAAGAATGAGATAAATCTGCGAGTTGTAGACTCGAACACCGTAAGTCGACTTCAATTCTATGATGGAAAAAGAAGCAGAAATTATTTTAGAATGTTGGTCTGTTGATTTTACAGAAATTTAATCACCTTGCAGCTCACAGTTGCCTTTGATGAAACGACCACCTTGGAGGATGTTGATAAGCTTTTCAAAGTTTTTGCATCTGGCAAGCCTGTGAGTATTATCATATATCAGTTGAGATAGATGGTATTTTGATTTAATTAATCAAAACTTTTGCCCATCTAACTGAGATTATTATTCCTCAATCAGGTCTCATTTACTGCTGCATCTCTTGCATCTGAAGTTCAGCCTGCCATTCCTTCTGGCCTAAAGAGGGAGAGTGCATTTCTTACACATCCAATCTTCAACTCGTATGTCCTCTTCAGTCTTATAAACTCTCAAAATTTACATTTTTCAATTATAAGCGCTCTGAATTCTCTCTCTTTTTTAGGTGCCACACCGAACATGAGTTGCTCAGATACATCCACAAGTTACAATCAAAGGACCTTTCACTATGCCACAGCATGATTCCACTTGGTTCTTGCACAATGAAATTGAATGCGACAACGGAAATGATGCCAGTTACATGGCCTAGTTTCACTGACATTCACCCTTTTGCCCCTGCTGCTCAGGCCCAGGGATATCAGGTAGTCCAAAATGTTTGTCTGCTAATAAATTCAAAGACACTTGCATATGTTTCTTTGCCCACAGGCCACAATATAGATGTTTCTCAATAAGACATTGACTTTGTTTACAATTGTCATTTCCAGGACATGTTCAACAATCTGGGTGACCTATTATGTACTATTACTGGGTTTGACTCTTTCTCCTTGCAACCTAATGCTGGAGCTGCTGGAGAGTATGCTGGACTGATGGTTATTCGCGCTTATCATAAGGTACAACTACTGAACCTTTTTTATTTTTCCTTCCCTTCTAGTAGTCTATTGAAATCAACCGCTTATTAGGCAGAAATTGCATTTTGTTTCTCAAGTATGCAAACAAACAGAAATCTTAATTGCATTGAATGGAAATTGTAGGCAAGAGGGGACCATCACCGCAATGTGTGCATCATTCCAGTTTCGGCACATGGCACAAACCCTGCTAGTGCTGCAATGTGCGGCATGAAAATTGTGCCTGTTGGAACTGATGCCAAGGGAAATATCAACATTGACGAGTTGAGAAACGCAGCTGAAGCAAACAGGGACAACCTCTCGGCTCTTATGGTAAGCATGATCCTCTATGCCAGGAAATAGATTTCGGTTACTTGAAGTGACAAGATTAGATGAAAATAAGTTGAAGAGCATCAACAATGATCTGATTGGAATGATATTAATATCGTAGGTGACATATCCTTCCACTCATGGAGTGTATGAAGAAGGTATCGACGAGATATGTAACATCATTCATGAGAATGGAGGTCAAGTCTACATGGATGGAGCCAACATGAATGCACAGGTTAGTTTCATCTACCTCTTTCTTATTTTTATTTTTTTCCCTTCAATACACGTCCACGGTAGTTATTAGGTAATACGATTAGTTTTGTCTTTTGTTATAGTGTTAAGATTTTGAATCTTTCAGACTCAAAGTAAGCTTGGACAATGAACACTCAGAAGATTTTTATGAGCTACAAATGTTTGATTTCACCAACATTTCTCATGGTCTAACTAGGAGATCTCTTACTGGTTTTAATTGATCATAATAAAGTCTAAATGGATTCTTGTTTCTTACAGGTTGGTCTAACTAGCCCGGGTTGGATTGGAGCTGACGTTTGCCATCTCAATCTCCACAAAACATTTTGCATTCCTCATGGAGGAGGTGGTCCTGGAATGGGTCCCATTGGTGTGAAGAAACACTTGGCGCCATTTTTGCCCTCACATCCTGTGGTAAAATACTCCTTTCAGTGATGTTTATATGCAATTGCTCTTGTTAGGAGTATATGCATCCAACACAACAAGGACAAATTTTGCATGAGATTTTCATTTTTGGTCCAGAGTATTTAATCTCTATTTGATATATCAAGCATTCCAGTCACATGTCTTCATCTATTTCAGGCGAGGTAAAAATTTCGATTAATTTTTTGTTTCTCTTTCATAATTCTGAAGGTACCTACCGGTGGCATTCCTGCCCCTGACAAGGCTCAACCACTTGGAACCATTGCTGCTGCACCTTGGGGCTCTGCACTCATTTTGCCAATCTCTTATACTTACATAGCAATGATGGGGTCTAAGGGACTCACTGATGCATCAAAGATAGCTATTCTGAACGCAAACTACATGGCAAAACGTTTGGAGGTACACTTTTTCTTCCTTCACTGTTGTTTGCTTTATGATAAGATCTATTAAGGTCTGCAAAGGATGTAAAGCTAATGTTTTTCATCTTGAAGAGTACGAAGACATAATTCATTCGAAGTCTTGCCAAAAAAATAAATAAATAGTTCTGTTACAATGTGATGGTATATTTGGTCTCTAGTGCCTTAAGAAGTAACATTCCTATGGCTTTCTTTTCTCATTTGGTTTATGTTTTTCTTTCAGAACTATTACCCCGTTCTTTTCCGAGGTGTTAACGGAACATGTGCGCATGAGTTCATCGTTGACTTAAGAGGCTTCAAGGCAGGTTTCTTATTTGTTTTGACCTTCAAAGTTCAAATGCTCACTTCTATTGTTCATATTCTGTTCATTATGTGACTCATTGTATTCCATTATTTTTGCAGAACACCGCTGGAATAGAGCCCGAGGATGTTGCCAAACGTTTGATGGACTATGGATTTCACGCACCAACCATGTCATGGCCAGTTCCTGGCACACTCATGATTGAACCTACTGAGAGTGAAAGCAAAGTATATTCAACAAACAGAACTCTCCTCTTTCTTTTTCTCCCAGAAAAACAAAACTTTTCAATCTTTTTCTTGTCTTTTTTTTTTTTTTTTTTTTTTTGGGTCTCAGTAAATTTTGCTGTTGCTTTGCAGGCTGAATTAGACAGGTTTTGCGATGCTCTCATTTCCATCCGGGAAGAAATTGCCCAGATTGAGAAAGGAAAAGCTGACATTCACAACAATGTGCTTAAGGTAAGACTTTGCTTGTCATTAGATTTTATTTTATTTTATTTGTTACATTAGAACAGAACTAGAGAATTAATTTTGCTTTTAGAGCACCTCCAATATCTAAAAGATGCAATTTGCAGAGCGCTCCTCATCCTCCGTCACTGCTAATGGCAGACGCATGGACAAAACCATACTCGCGAGAATCCGCAGCTTTCCCTGCCCCCTGGCTCCGCGCCTCCAAGTTCTGGCCTACTACAGGTACGCTTTCACATTTTATTGTCACTCTCAAATTGAAGAATATTTCTTAGATTAGGCTAAAATAAGTAAGAGCATTGCCATATAAGCTTTGATATTTCTAATTAGTATGAATATTATAGGCATGTTTAGTTTGCTGATTTGAGTTTTTAATTTGAGTTAAAATGCGACTTTATGTGACAGTTTTTTATTGAAGTAAAAAAAATTAAATGTGACTATTTCTGAGAGCTTTTTATTGTAACAAAATTCGAATTATGTCTTTTCTCTTAAACTTGCTAATGTTTTTTTTTTTTTTTTTTTGGGTATCAGGACGTGTTGACAATGTTTATGGAGACCGCAACCTCATCTGCACCCTTCTCCCAGCCTCGCAGGCTGTCGAAGAGGAGGCCGCCGCCACTGCTTAATCTCGGGACGTCCACGTCTGGCGTCGACTTTCTTTTCTCGATTTCGGACCACCCTCCTCCTCCTCCTCCTCCTTACATCCTTCCTTCCTTCACTGTAATATAATTCATCTCCCATACGTTCTGCTGCAGCAGGGTGACACTCATTTTCCTGATATGATAATGATGATCAACCATCATAATAACAAAAATGTTGCTCATTGCAACTAAAAAAAAAAAAATTGTTGTAATTATAATTGCTTCCTTCTCAATTCCTTTTGGTTTCTTTTACATAATGTCTAGATCATAAAAAGGAAGGAAAACTTTTTATTATTGTTTAATAATTGAAAATTTGACCTTATTTCAAAGTGAAACGATAATGAATTACTGGAACTTTTAAATCGTGAACGATTCAGAGTTGAAGACTTTCAAGATTGAGCTGGCAATTTATTATCCAGTTTGTTGCCAGCTAAATGTCATGCATGGAATGTAATTCGCCATAACAAGCCTGTTCATTGCTATCCGGGCCAAATGTTGTCGGTTTGTTTGTTCTTTGTAGCCTTATAACAATTTTTTTTTTTTAAAAAAAAAAAAAACTCCTTTCTCAATGTATAAAATCCATTTTAAATACGGAGAATTCTTTGTAGTGTAAGGAAAAAGAAAATTTATTGGTAGGCACAATATTCCATTGTCATATTTTTCTTAATAAAAAAAATTATGATATTTGGCCATTTAAAATTGTTTACCGTAAAATTATCGAATAAAAATTGAGTACTGCAAATTGTCACTTTTAAATCACAGGTATTCTTCTTCTTTTTTTAAATTTTGAGTTTCGAACTAATGTCTGGCCATTTTGGTGTTCCGTGAAGTTGACCTTTTTTTATATTCGTAACAACTGAAAACTGAAAGCGAACCACCGCAAATCTATTGGAGATAAATTAAAAGGCACATTATTATTATTTTTATTATTATTATTTTTGAGTAAAGCACATTATTTCGCCTACATGAAATTTGATATGCCTCGTTCATTTCGTTGATTTGAGTTTTGCTACAGTAAAAAGCTCTCACAAACAATCACATCTAACTTTTTTGCTACAGTAAAAAGCTCTCACATAAAATCACATATCAACTCGAATTAAAAACTCGAATCAGCGAACTAAACGGACCCTAAATTCTAAATAAAAATAAGTTATATCTAATATTGTAGTTTTTGTTACATGCATTGGCTGCTTTTTTTTCTCCTTTTGTGTGACCCTTAAGACATTCAAACATGTATAAAAATGGCAGTAACCTTTTTCTTCTCCCACGGATAAGTTTTGAGGAATTCAAACACTCAAATTAATGTTACCCTTTATCCCATGGAAGTATCTCGACCTGTGAAAAAGCAAAACCTCATTCAGTGTTCACAAAAATCGTGACTTAAATTCTCTTTTTTTCCTCTTTTTGGGGTCTGCGATTTTTAATGATCCTATGAACCTTTGAAAGTGTAGCCTCCTTAGTACCAACCATATATTTATGAGAACTTTTATGGAACACCAACAATTCAAAAGTAGGATAAGTTCGATAAAACTATTAATCCAACCGCTTGACCATCGGTAAAATCATTATTGTCTCTCCTTTAATTATAAAATGAAAAAAAAAAACAAACAAACAAACTAATCAAACATAATCGCTAACTTATTATTGGACCTATCAAACACTCTAGCTGATTTGTTATGCATAAATTAAATTCCTCAACTGCTTAAATTATTACAAGTTTTTTATTTTTCTTTTTGGCGCTTACAAATTACAAGCTAATTAATTTGCTCCGATTTTTTATTCAAATGTGGATATTCTGTCCTAGAAGAATGAATATTCCTAGTTTTTAATACCGTTAAAAAGAATGCACATCTCATTGTCTCAAGCCTATCAACCAATTGAATTAACTCCCAACTATTTAACGCACCAATAACTTGAGACGAAGCTTTTTTTTTATTTTTTTATTTTTTTATTTTTTTGTATTTAGGAGTTAGCTTGTAGACATGGGTTTTCTAACAAATCCATGCCAAAATTCCTCCAAACATATCTCAAGTGTTCGTTTTGTTTTTTCCCTTTTGCACAGGAAAAAAGTAGGGGAAGAAAGGGGGGGTCCATGATCCATATCAAATAAAAAAGAATGGATAATTCTATATAGTATGTTTCAATTATTAAAACAATAAATCAAAATAAAATAATTCCCACTAAGGTGTGGTTGCGTGCAAAAATAGGAAAAATAAAGGGGGAAAAAAAAGGAAAAAAGGGAAAAATTTTGAAATGAAAAGTCAAATCCAAAAACATACAGTCACACAGGCCTCACGTTCCCCTCTATGGCCATAAATATTTTTCTCTTTGGCGGCATTCTCTCCTTTTCTTTTTTCCATTTATTTTTAATGAGAAAATCTAGGTCTTGTTCATTTCACCGATTTGAGTTTTTAGTTTTAAATTTTTACAGTAAAAAATTCTTAAAAAATATCACATTTAATTTTTTTGTTACAGTGAAAATCTCTCAAAAAATATTACATCTTAACTTAAATTGAAAACTCAAATTCACAAAGTGAATGAGACCGTAAATTGTTTTATTATCTTTTTGATGAATTAATTGTACTATTATCTACTCTATAATTTCTCTATCCGTTCCGTTGCAGATGATACATTTAGTATGACAACGTACGGCGTAGTACACGGATTAATGATGCACCCTCTCCTATCATCTGCCCCAAAATTCAATCTAATTAATTGTTTTCGGCAACACCATTTTTAGGAGGAAAATGTTCAGAGAAACGCCAACCAAAAGAAACAAAAAAAAGTGAAACAATGACCTAAAAAAATTATATATTATTCTATTGGGCAACCGATATCTTCAGGCCTTTGAATGATGCCCAATCTGTTTTTTTTTCTTTTTTTCTTTTTTTCTTTTTTTTTAGTCCTATGTATTTTCATAGATTAACTTAAATTTTAATGAGTTAAATTAATTTGACCATCATTTAATCCATAAAAAATTTAACCGATTAGAAAATAATTGGCTTTATAGTCATAGTATAAAAGTAAAAATAAGCTGTCTTTTGACATAGAAGAACAAGAGAGAGAAAGGAATATTGAATGTTTGGCTAGAGTTCTGGCACTGCTTTTAAGCGTGTCGTTAGGTTCGTCTTGTCGAGGGCTCTATAATGGTGGTGCCAATGTATCGTAGGGTGGTTTTATTAGGGCATGTCAGGCTTTGTTTAGACGTTAGAAATCAGACGTTTAGGATGTGTTTTGTAGCACCGTCAACGTTGGGTGGCTGAGTCCTTGTATTGGGGGGCTTCCTTTGGCACGAATGATGCCGTCTTCGGAGGTTGGCGATGATGGCAAAGGTGAATCACTCGATGTCGTTTGATGGTCTTTTTCTAGCGGCTTTGCTACTTGGTTCTCGAAGCTTTTTTCCTTCTTTTGTGGTCCTCTCGCCAACTGCGTCGTCGTTGGAAACTTACATCAGCGATGCTTTGGGTTTTCTTTTTTGCTTTGTTTTGTGTTTTAGATTGTAATAAAAATGTGGTGACGTTGTTCTTGCCACTTTTTGTTTGTTGTTTTGTAATAACATGGGTGATTTCTCTACTGTTTGGTGTGATTTTGTCTCACCCGATTGAGTTGTTCACCGACGATTTAGATTGTTTAGTCAACTTAAAATTTTGTATGTGTTGTGATGCTGATGTCCCCTTTGAGTAGGGGGTAGTGTTTTGTCTCTCTTGGAGCTCGAAAGCTTATTTTGATGGGAGGATTTTTTCAAATAGAATATTAAGTGTGCTCAATCTTAATGTACCGAAGTTATTTTCTATTTTTGAGTCTTAGGTTTACGTTCGTCTTTTTGTTAGGTCATTAGTCTTTACTGTTTATTTATTTGTTTATGTCTTTGAAAATAATTTTCTTAAAAAAAACAGAAGAAAAAATAACTGTTCTTAAACTATACTTGCCTAATATACTACAAAATCAACTTTGCTTGATCTTTCTCACGATTTGTCATTGTGTACCGCAATGATTTACGGCTTTAAATGCAATTTCTTTATAAAATGTAAATTGAACCCAGTTGTTTAAATCAAAACGATACTCCGATACATTTTTAGGCCAATCACATGCTAATTCGTATAATTGATCGTTTTAAAATTAATTCTGATTTATTTCGTTAAAAAATTAATCAACGCTTGTCCGTGCAAATGTTTTCCTCTACGTCAAGATCACACGGACATTAAGCAAATTGGACGGCGGAGATTAGGTGAAGACCACGTAGATTAAAGTGTGGATAAACCCACGGTAGCTGTATAGTTGGAGGTCTTGACTTGGGGGTAGGGGCATTATAAAAATTGGGCAAGAACACAAAGAAGAAAATTTTTATTAATTTAATTTAATTTAATTTTGTTAAATAAAATTGGTTTTTCTGCTTCGGGTTATACATTACAGCGTGTTGGAGGGAATAGTTGAGCGGTTAATTTAAGAGCTCTCTCTCTCTATTTCTTTCTTTAAGTGGTGGTAGCTTGACGAAGAAGGGTGCGCAGGTTAAGCGAATCTGCTTTGTCAACAGTGGGGCGTACGTTAAGCCAGTGGGACGACAGACGGAGAAACCTGTATAGATTATTAGATTTGGTTTTCGATTTAGGTTTTCCATTGATGATCTTGATCGATGTCGAAAATGAAGCATCTGCTGAGGAAGCTTCACATCGGCGGGGGTCTCAATGACCACCAGAGGCTCGCCGACACCCGACCCGTCGCGACTCCGATTACTTCGAATCCGAATTCCTCGGGTTCTTCTATGTCGCCCGCGCCGGCGGTCAGTTCGAGTTCGGCGGGAATGGTGGGGAGAATCGCGGCCGTCGATTCGGCGGCTGGGGATAGTGGTAGTGGTAGTGGTAGCGGCGGTGGCGGAGTCGTTGGTTTTGGTGGTGGTGAGTGCCTGGATTTCAATTTCTTGGAGGAGGAGTTTCAGGTGCAAATGGCCCTCGCGATCAGCGCCTCGGATCCCGATACGCGAGAGGACCCTGAGTCCGCTCAGATCGACGCCGCGAAGCGGATTAGCCTCGGTTGCCCGACTCCGGTTGCCGATACTCAAGCCCTAGTTGATATTCTTTCGCTCCATTATTGGGTACTTTTGATCTTCTATTTTCTTTTGTTTTGTTTTTGTTCAATTTTGGATTTGGAGTTCGATTGACTTTATGCTTCGGCGAATACGATCTCTTATTTTCTGTTTGTGGAGGATTTCCTTCAGATTGCATTACTCTTTCGAGAATTTATGCTAATTATAGGGGAAAGACTTTCTAAATTCTGGTAATTTTTTTTTTTTTTTTATGCATTGGGCTAGATGTGAGAGTTAAATCTATTGGCTCGAATTCTAGATCAGCGGTATTAGTTTCTGGTATATCAGCGGTATTAGTTTCTGGTATTTTAATGCTTGAATCGGAGGCTAGTTAAGGTGTTAGTGTTTATCGCTTGTTAGTTGCTGGTGATTGGATTGTGATTTTAGTGCATTTGTGGAAGTAAAAAGATTAGATAATGGGATTACTCTGAATTGCATATCATGTTTGCCTTATTAGGCATTTTACTCTGCTTGAGCTGTATATTGAACCTTCTTCCCCAAAAACCCCACAAGATAAATATCATGTTAATCATTTTCAGTTTTTGATTTTTCCCGCAGTTTTTAACTAGTATTTGCTTTTGCTTTGTACAGTTGCTTAAGATATGGTTATGATGAAATTAAATTTACTTAGTTATCTACTTCTGTTACTTGCAGAGCTATAATGTTGTAAATTATAATGAAAAAGTGCTGGATGGGTTTTATGACGTATATACTACTTCCTCGAACTTAGCTGCCCAAGGAAAGATGCCATTGTTGGTTGATCTACAAGCAATATCTGTTTCAGATGATGTTGATTATGAAGTGATTTTGGTTAACCGCATGGTTGACTCTGAACTACGGCGTCTTGAGAAAAGAGCATCTGCTATTTCACTAGAGTGCCCGGTTTCTGACCATGGTCTTATTTTCAGTGGATTGGTCCAGAAAATTGCTGACCTTGTTGTTGATAGAATGGGTGGTCCAGTTGGTGATGCTGATGAAATGAATAGAAAATGGACCATGCGGCGGAATGAGTTAAGGAGTTTGATGAACACTATTATACTTCCCCTTGGACATCTTGATTTTGGACTTTCACGCCACAGGGCCTTGCTCTTTAAGGTTGTGCCTGTTTTTTTTTTTTTTATTTTTTTTTATTTTTTTTTTTTATAGCTTCTCCTGTTTGCAATTTTGAATCGTGATATAATATATGCAATCCCGATTTCTTTCTTTCAATCCGAAAATCAACTCATTGAATTTTGTTTTGGAAAAAATGATCACTGCCATGAAACCTTCTGCTGCCTTTTAAGTTTAAAGACCGTGAACAATTAATTATGTATCTTTCTGGTTCCAGGTACTGGCTGATAGGATTAATCTTCCATGCATGCTGGTTAAAGGAAGTTACTACACTGGTACTGATGATGGGGCTGTGAACTTGATTAAAGTTGAAGATGGAAGGTAAACGCCCACTAACTTGATTAAAGATGAAAAGGGAACTTATGCATAACACGGTTCAACTGAAACTAAGTCTTGTAATTTACTTTTGACTAGCATGTTCATTCAGCTTATTATGGCATCTTATTATCTTGTTTTCAACGCACATTTCCCTTCTAATTTATATATTTGGAAATCTCGGAACTATGTATCTACTTGATTTATTATATTGTGCAGTGAATATATCATTGACCTTATGGGTGCCCCTGGCACCCTGATTCCTTCTGAGGTACCCAGTAGTCAGCTTCCAAATTCTTTTCTTGATATAAGGAGCTTAGCAGATGTCACAGTGATGCCCACGGGCTTGAGAATGTTGGATGACGGGACAATTCAATCACCACCTGTATCCAAAGTTGGACACTCAAGGTCAGATGAAGCATCATGTGAGGCAACAGATGATGCAAGGCGCCTTGTTGAAGAAAACCAGAATGAGAAATGGGGACACGAATTTGTGAAGTCGCTCCCATCACCACAAACCTCAGGCATAGGTGGAAAAGCATCTTCTGCACAAAAAAAGAAAGTTAAAAATGTATCAAAATATGTTATCAGTGCAGCAAAAAACCCGGAATTCGCTCAAAAACTTCATGCTGTTTTGTTAGAGAGTGGTGCATCACCTCCTCCAGATTTGTTTTCAGATATAAGCCCACAGGATATTGATGAAGACAGATTGATTAAACAAATTCATTTAGGAGATTGGAAAAAGGTGGCTGACGGGATTCAGAGCCTAAATGAACTGTCTTTGATCTCTGATAAAACCAACCATGGATATATGCCTGTTACTGATGGAACTAACGAACCTATCCTGACTGATATTGCAAGTGTAGCTATTGCTCCTGCTAACCCACCAAGACTTTATACAAGAACTATGGGAGAGGAACAAGTTCACAAACCGGCCTTGCCCTTCGGAACCAACTCTTGCGAAAGACACCTTGAAAAGGCCTATATTAGTGATGATAAGAGGTTTTTTCAGGATAGGATTGACATTGATTTGGGAAAGGAGCCTGCAGTTAAAATGATGGAAACCGCAACTAGTGGATTGTATGTTGGTCGTGATGGTCAAAGTGAGAGTCTCAACACAATGCTGGGGGAAGCTGCGGAATGTGAAATTCAATGGGAGGATCTACGGATTGGTGAGCGAATTGGTATTGGTAAGAATTCCTTCTTTTGTGACTACTGGTTTCCTTGATGAATAAACCTCCCCCCCACCACCAAAAAAAAAAAAAATCATATCATCGTATCTGTTTCATTTTGCCTATATTTCATAATAATTGCATCATTTTATCCGGTAAGCATATGAATGAGTTTACATTATGTGTTTGTTAGTTAAGAGGATTCATACTTAAAGGGCTGCTTGGGTACTAGGTATTTACTGCTCTTTAGTATTTACCCAATCTACCTTGACCTATTCTCTTTAGGATTCATACTTGAGGGCTGCTTGGGTACTAGGTATTTCTCTGTTTTTGGTTCAGTCAGATAACAAGTTTCTATCCTTGACCTATTCTCTTGTTTAGTAGAATGCGCAGATTTTTTTAGTTTGCCCTTTTTAATGAACCAACCTCGACAGAGTTATTCCCTCTGAAGGGTTTGATCTGCAAATACACAAACTAATTTGAATATTTGATGTTGTTTTTAGTTTTAGATCACTATACCGAGAAGTATATATCTAAGCCAGGCTTGACATTAGGCTAGGATGACTGTCCTGGACTCTTACCAATACTATTTTACCTTTTCTTGAAAAATAATGTACATCATTGTCGAGATGGTTGTCCAGGCAGTTGGGGAGTGTAGACACAAAAGGTTGATAGTCACAACTGATTTAAGTCTGAAATCTTTGGATGGCCTTGAATTGTCGGGTGATTCTTAAAATAGCTTGGTAATGCAGTGGCGGTTTCACATGATATCTTATCCTGTAGGTTCGTATGGCGAGGTTTATCGTGCAGATTGGAATGGCACTGTAAGTATCGTTATGAACCAATTGGCGATGATCTTTTTCTTTTATTTATTTTTTATTTTTAATAAGTGATTGCTTTTGTAACTCGAGATAAAAAATGAGATGTTATGTGGAGTGCTTGAACATGTTTTGAGGTTTTTTGTGATGAGACATTGACAATTTTGCTTTTTGAACTAAATTGTCATGCTCATTATTCAGTATAAATGTAATTGCTATGCTTCCAGCCTCTTAAAAAAATCCATATCCAGTTTCTCTAAAAATCATGTAATTGCTCTGGTGACTTTGTGTGTGTATTTTAACAAGGAAAAAAAATGAAAAGCTTCCTCATTTAGCATTCTAAAATTTTGAATTTTAACTTTCAAGCTTTGATCATATGGAGCCATCACTCATTGTAATGTTAGCGTAACATCACCTGTTCTTTTTGAATTTCTTCTCGTTTATCTTGCCTTTTTCCATGACAGGAAGTTGCTGTGAAGAAGTTTTTGAACCAAGATTTTTCTGGCGAGGCTTTACTTCAGTTTAAAAGTGAAGTAAGTAGCAAATAATGTTATCATACTTTTTCTCTTTATTTAATGTACAATTTTTTTTTTTTTTTGTTATTATGTTTTATCATTGGCTTAATTGTTGTTTTTGGTTCACAGATTGATATCATGCTAAGAATGAGACATCCGAATGTTGTACTTTTTATGGGTGCTGTTACTCGACCCCCACATTTCTCCATACTGACAGAGTTCCTTCTCAGGTGGATTTCTTTCTTGCATTCCACATTTCATCTATTGTATAATTACTATAGTCTCTTTTAAGAACTTAGAGAGAACCTTCTTAATATCTTAATGTCTTTTTAGTATATAAGGAACACACCAGAACATAACTGTGTGCATTAGTGCATGCGCGCGGACATGCACATGTTGGTTTGTGCATGTTAATATGTCAGTGTTGAAAGGCTTGTTTCAACAACTGTTGTGGAGTCCTAAATCTCAAAATATCTACCATGCCATTTGGATGCCAGCTTGTTACTGTATGTGCATGTAATATTCATTGCTTTATGTGCCCAATAAAGACACTATCAGGGAAAAGATTAGACCAGTCTGCCATTTTGGATTTCTCATATCATTTGTCAAGTTTCTGCAAAGAATTAGTTTAATATAAAGATGTTGTCTCCAAATCATTCATCTGTATGTTCTGCACTATCTCTTCTTGTGCGCCTTAAACATTCATTGGTTACACAGGGGAAGTTTGTATAGATTACTGCATCGTCCTAACCCTCAACTTGATGAAAAGAGGCGAATGAGAATGGCTCTTGATGTGGTGAGCAGTGGCTCTCCTCTCTCTCTCTCTCTCTTCTTTTTTCCTTTTTTTTTTCCTGAATAAACCTCTACACGTTTTGCAGGCCAAGGGAATGAATTACTTGCATACCAGTAACCCCACAATCGTACATCGAGATCTTAAGTCTCCAAATCTCCTTGTTGATAAAAACTGGGTTGTAAAGGTCTAACAAAACCATAATTCTGGCACTTCAATTCTTTTATGATAATTGGCCTTAGCCCTATTCCTTTAAAACGGGTCTTGAATCATTCATCTTTTCTGATGTAAATGAATTTGATATTTACAATTGTTTTTCTCCTCTACAGGTTTGTGATTTTGGTTTGTCACGAGCGAAGCACCACACTTTTCTGTCCTCGAAGTCTACTGCTGGGACGGTAATACTTGTGTAGAGTTGATTGTTGTTCATACCAAGAATTATTTCTGTTTTTCTGCCCATCAAGTGTCATTCTATTTTCTAGAATTATAGAGTACTAAAATATTTGTCTACTGCAGCCTGAATGGATGGCACCTGAGGTCTTAAGGAATGAACCAGCAAATGAGAAGTAAATTTTCTTTCATTTTTTCCCTCCCGATTCCTAAAAGCAAGAAGTTATTTGACGGTGGATGCACCTTGGAAATGTTACCGTTTGTAACTATAACATGCAAGTGTTATCTGGTTGCAGGTGTGATGTGTACAGTTTTGGTGTGATATTATGGGAATTAGTTACTACGCGTATCCCATGGAAAGGCTTAAACCCAATGCAGGTTGTTGGAGCTGTTGGATTTCAGAATAGGCGTCTTGAAGTTCCAGACGAGGTTGATCCAGAGGTGGCCCAGATAATACATGATTGTTGGCAAAGGTAAGTTTTTATACCTTTCCTAATATAATACATGTACCTTATATGTGCAGTCAATTTACAGGATTGTTGGCAAAGGTAACATAATCAGTCCACCCATTTATAGTCGTTATAATAACTTGAGCTTTGCTTCATTTGCAGAGAGCCAAATCTAAGGCCCTCATTCTCAGAGCTCATGGTTCGTCTCCGGCAGCTTCAACGTCTTGTTGTTGAAAAAACAAACTCTACAAATTAAAGCAACCAGAAAACAACATTATAATAAATATTCTGGATTTGTGCCCGGGCTCGAAGAGCTAGGGTTCGATTAGGTTTTTCCTTCTGTAAAAAGTAAAGAGGGATTGCTGGATTAGAAGTGTTGGCTCATTCAAAGTGGGGGCGCAGCACAAGCTGTTGTGGACAGAGTGGGGATCCTCCAAGTGAACAGCTGCACAAGTGCAGTGGAGGGTACCACCGAAGATTAGTCTTTACTAGAACTAGAAGTCTACTAGGTAGTACGTCAATCCAAGTGTAAGAAATTCCCGGAAAAAGGAAAAGGAAAAAGAAAAAAAAAAGGAAAAGAAAAGAAAGAAAGAAAATAAATTTGTCATTTGTGTCTGTCGAGGTCCAATTGAGGAATTGTAAACATGTGATCTCTTCAGGTTATTGTGAAAAATACATCTGAAAAAGAAAAAATTGAAACATAACTTTTTGCACAACAAAGTGTTCTTAAAAACCTCGTTTCCTTCAAGGAGACCGAGATATTCACACGAAGGAATTCGGGTTAAATGTTTTAACTACGAGCGGTATCAGACACCACTATTTCCATTCGAGTAGCTTCATGTGAAATTTACGCCTTATAAATAGTGCTCTCTTTTTATCGTTTTTATCTTTGGTGTAGTTTGTCTTGTAGATTTGAACTATAATTCCAATCTTTTTGTTAGTGTTTGTTTGTTTTTTTTTTTTTTTTTTTTTTTACGAAAATTTTGAATTTCTTTTTAAACTCTGTTAAGAGAAACCTATGAGCTAGATTGATTTCACTTTAGTTGATTTGATAATTTTGTTTTCCTTTTGCCACACGAGCGTTTTTTCAATATGTTTTTAATAACTATGTGACTTCCACAGGTAACAACGGGACTTTTAAAAACTTGAGAAAATTATAGACCGTATAGCTTTTAGGGTCCGTTTGGGTTGAATCCACGAAGAATACATGAAACAAATATATCCTTGTACTAAAGAACCGAAAACTAGTAACATTGTCAAACATGTCGCTCTTAAAAAGTTATTTTATGTCGTTTGTCGTATAAGCGACATGAAAATTGTCCTGTAAAGTGCTATTGTTTAATTCTTAACACAACATATCGTCTGTGGTTTCAAAATTTTGTCTTTCAAGATGAAACAGCATAACATGCCGTTCGTGCTAATTGACCGACAGCAACATCAATAGACTATAGAAGACAGACGTTATTCATTTATTTAGAATACTTATTTTAAGAGAATTCCAACGTTATTTATATATGTTGTATCAACACAATACAATCATCTTATCAATTATAAAAAACAAAACAAAAAAAAAAAAAACCACAAAATACAACAAAGATGAATCGAAATGTTTCTTTTCCATGGATAGAAAAACAGTATTTCAATTTTTTTTCCCTATAAATACTGTATTTCTAATTTTTGAGCAAATTATTTACTAATAATTTTCAAGACATTTAACTCTCAAAATATATATATATATATATATATACGCGTATTTTTAAGACAAATAAATATCTCCCAGCCTGAGCTGGCGTGGCGATAATGAAGAACTGAAACGGAGAAAAGTCACTGTGAGACAGCAGAGCTATGGCGTCCGTGGTCCTAAACGCATCTCCAAGACCGCCATCAACGCCTCTCTTCTTCCCCTCCAATCTCAACCTTGTCATTTTAAACCCCATTTCTCTCAACCCAACCAGTCTCCCTCACCGCCGACTCAAAATCCCCTTCTCGTCTTCTTTCAGAAACGGAAGCAACAGCCCACCGGAGACGAACTGCCCCGTTCCGCTGGAGCAGCAGCCCATAAACGAGTACCAGAGCCTCTCTACCGAGTTCCCCTTCTCGTGGGCCTCCGGCGACATCGTCGAGTACTGCTCTCGTTTGGTCGCCACCGGCGCCTCTTTTGCCCTCTTTCTCGGCCTCCCTGTCGCCTGGTTCGGTACCGTCGGCGCAGATTCCGAGCCGTTCAAGCGACTTCTCTGGGCTGCTTCCAGTGGGATTCTCTTCGTCACGATTGCCGTTGTTAGGATGTATTTGGGCTGGGCTTACGTCGGCAATCGCTTGCTTAGCGCCACCGTTGAATGTAAATGCTCTTTTTTTTTTTTTTTTTTTTTTTTCAACTTAAGTTCGTTGCTTAGTTGCTGAGAAAGTGAGAGAAAGATGGGAAGCTTGTTTTTTTTAAAAAAAATTGAGATTTTCTTGCGTTTTCTCGGAAGTAAAGTTTGGTAACTGATATACTGTTTTCACTTTTCTTGTTTCAGATGAAGAGACGGGATGGTATGATGGTCAGGTATGTCGGATTCCAATAAACTTGAATAGTATTTTTTGTCCTTTAGAAGTTCCAAAACTTTTTCTCTAACACCCAAATGTTTTTTTGTTAAGAACTAAAGATATTCCAATCTTTATTTATTATAATTTCAAACCAGTTATGAGTTTGATCACCAAATTGGTTAAACTTTTCTCAATGGAGGAACTTATCTTCTGTTCAAGTTTGTAAGTGTTAATGTCTAGTTTCTTAACTGTTGTCTTCGTAGTGGAACAAGTAAATATTATTCTAATTCAATATGAGGTTTTAGTTTATGGTTTTTTTGAAGCCTAAATTTAACTCTCTCCTCAGATGTGGGTTAAGACTGCTGAAGTTTTAGCACGTGATCGGCTCCTTGGTTCCTTCTCTGTAAGTGATTTTTGCCAATTGACTTGCTTTATCTAAAATAAGCCAAATGCACAAATTATGAGTAATATATATGATCTTGAATTGCTCTTTGTTTGCTTGGTGCTGTTCAAGATCACAATGCGTGATATGTGCTTAAATCAAATAAGTGTTTATACATGCAATTGAGCTTAGGATTTATTTTTTATTTTTAAATAGGTGAAGCCTGTGCTGAGCAGATTGAAATACACACTTGTTACACTGTCAGTATCACTATTGGTTTGTATTCTTTTTGTGGTGAACATTGATGAAAGCCCAAAAAGGTCGTATGCAACATCTGAAGAAGGTGTGGGTGTCATACCAGGAGTTTATAATGATGAGTCAGCCAGGTCATTTGAACCAGACGCTTTTTGCGGTGAACCTGGTAATATCCCCTAAATAACATTTACCCAATTAGTAGCTCTTATTACTGAACAGTCTCTAAGGGGACTTTTTTTTTTTTTTTTTTTTTTTCCCCCTCTCTTCTAGTGTATATGTCATAGAATATAAAAACATGGAATATAATCTGTATATAATTCCACATTGAAATGTCTGGTCTGGTCTGGTCCCTGTAGGGTAGTCACCAGTCAGTGACTTGCTGTGTATAGTTATAGTTTTTTTTTTTTTTTTTTTTTTTTTTTTTTTTTTTTTCCTAAGAAGGTTGTTTGAGCATGAGAAGTTATCCTTTTTTCAGCAGTTTTCTTTCTAAAATTGCAAAGTTGGACTTTCTTGGTGATGATTTGATTTGGATAAGATTGCTATTCTAATGTACCTTTTGATGCCGAGCTTTAACAAAGACGAGTGTTTTTGAACATTACTCGTTGACTTTGAGTGCGGTGTAAAGAGAGATTGTGGGGAATTTTGCCGGCCAACGTGTTTTGTGTTTTATGCCCACAAAAAATGTTGGCTCTTTTGTGTTTTTTGCCCACAAAAAATGTTGGTTCTTTCTTGGAGATTTTACTTTTATACTCTCTACTGTGAATCCATGCAATTTAATGCTAAGCTTAAAGAAGCGCACCTAGCCAAGTCGCCATTAATATGCATATAGTATTTTTCCAATTAAGCGCGCAGAGAAACATTGTTACTTTACATTATTACTTTACATTATTACAGCAAAGAAACAAAAAAAAAAAAAAAAAAGCCTGGGCAGTGATATTGTTATTTGTTATGTTGGATTAACCCAGATGACAATCTAACATCTATTGAACAAACATAACAAACATAACCATATTTTAAGATTCTCCGTAGAGGAGTCAATTGGGCCGGGCCGTCCATGGACGGCCTGGCCCAGCCCGCTACAGTAGTAAATTCGGCACGGCCCGGCCCTGTACTGTTATGGGCCGGGCCGGCACGGCACACCAGAAGGGCCTGGGCTGGGCCTCATGTTTGAGGCCTGCAGCCCAGGCACGGCCTAGGCCCGCCAAGGCCCAGGCACGGCCCAGGCACGCCAAGGCCCAGGCACGCGAAGGGCTAGGCACGGCCCAGGCACGCGAAGGGCTAGGCCCGCGACATGAAATTTTAATGAGGTTTGAGGCATTTTAGGGTCAATTGGCCAACCTATGCCGTCTGGTCAACCAGTCATTTTCTTATAATTATTCATATTAATTCAATAAAATCACATATTTTTGGGACATATGATATATTACTTTTTTTTTGTCATCAAATTTGAAATTAAAAAAAAATCCTAAAAATATTGCTAATCATAAGTGAAACTCAAGTGCATTAAGAAAATTAGGTTAAGATTGAGTTTAGACATAACAGAATCTTCTAGAAGCACTTAGGTTTTGTAATTTATTTATCTTAGAATACTGCACTCTTTTTTCATTCGCTAAGGTTTTGTCCCGATCTCCCCACGAGATTTACTAGATAAGGTTTTTAACGAGTTGATCATTTATGTGTACTTATTTGTATTATCTCAATTCAATAAAATCACATATTTTAGAGACATATGATATATTTTCTTTTTTTTTTTAAATAAATATTAAAAAAAAAATTAAAAGGGCCAGGGCCGGCCCATGAAGGGCCTGGGCCCAGGCCCAGCCCTGGCCCTTATGGACTAGGGCCAAGGGCCAGTGGTGGGCCTGAGGGTTTCTCCTCAGGCTCGACCCTGGCACAGCCCAAGCCCGCCATGGGCTTGGGGTTAGAAGGGCCGTGCCGGCCCGGCACGGCCCTTTTGACATCTCTAATTCTCCAGGGTGAAAAAGAATATGGTAAAGATACAGTCAATGTTACCAAATTATATGAGCATTATATTATCATTGTCTTTATTATTTGTTGAAACGACCCATTTAATTTATTGGTGTTTATGGGACCTTGGCACCATGCATTTTTTTTTTTTTTATAATAACAAAATCTTAGCCCGTTTGGCTTATTGAGAACTTTTTTTGATAATCTTATTTGAGAGCTTGAGCATACGTAATAGTGCTGCAAATTTGTAACACAACATTGACTAGCAAAAAAATTTGCTACACAACAAAATCATGTCCAACAATACATGTACAAGGCATCAGCATTTAGGTATTTTCCCTATCGTTACAGCAACAAATGAGAGGACAGAAAGAACTTCCCGTCGCACAACCCAAGTTGGCGGCGGCAAGAGTTCCTCCCATAGAAGAAAGCTTACCTTGAGCCTTTTTATTTATTTTTTCAAAAGTCATCTTGGAATCCAATATGTTACGCAATTACTATTAACTTATTCTATATTTTTTTTTTTTATAATATGAAGACGGTACATCTACATTTTTAAAATATGTATTTTTAACGTGACAATTTTTAATATGCTATCAATAATAAAAAAATGATAACTCAAAAATTGATACAAAAATTAGAATTAAAATTGGTGTTTTTAACATTTTTTTTTTAAAAAGGTTATCTTTAAAAACGTAAAAATATCGGTCGTGTTTAGAATTGATCTCATTTTTTATTTTTCACGTTTTCGAAAAAGAAAAAATGAAAACGTTTTTAAAACGACGTTTGACGCAATAAAGACAAAAAATAGAAATGCAAACGATTTTTTAGTTTAGTGTAATATGAGAGAGAAATAAAAAATGACTTTTAGTCGTTTTTTATTTTTTATTTTTATTTTCTCATCTCTCGAGCAGAGAGAGAAAAATAGACATTATTAGGTTTTTTTGTACTTAAATAATCTCTTGATAAAACTACTAAATGTATTTTTAAAAATAATTTATATATGAGATTAAAAATATTTTCATTTTTATTTTCATACAAAATATAAAATTATTTTAGAACGAGTTTCAAACGCGATCATCATCTAGTAAAAGTTACTCTCTAAAAAAAGTTTTAAAAAAAATACTCTCTGATAATTACACGAAAAAATTATGGTATTAAAAGGAATTTTTTTTATCTGATTCTCTGTCAACTAGGCGAAAAAGGAAACAAAATTATTCGAGAAAAAGACGGTCAGACACGCAGAAATCAGGAATTACAAAATAAGTATATATGGTCCGTTTAGTTCGCTGATTCGAGTTTTTAATTCGAGTTGAGATGTAATTTTATGTGAGAGTTTTTTACTGTAGCAAAAAAGTTAGATGTGATTGTTTGTGAGAACTTTTTACTGTAGTAAAACTCAAATTCTAAACTCAAATCAGCGAAATAAATGGGACCTAAATAAATAGATTAGGTAGATAGAGAAAGTGGGCATGGTAGGACCCACAGGGGGCCTGAAAAATGGGGAAGGGTTCATGCATCTTCCCCTCTTCCCGTCTTCTCGTCTCCTCTTCCAAAAAGATACAAGGAAAGTTCACGAATTCAAAATAAAAAATAAATTTAATTAAAAATAAATTAATTAAAAATAAAGTAAATTTTATTTTAATATTAAAGAGGAAAAAAAAAATGATTTTGTCATCCTTTTCCTGTCAGAATAAATCGGGCCATTCCTGTGTTGAATCTGCTTCTATGGCGATGAACTTCACCAACCACCTCATAAACCACTTCGGCAACCACAATAATATCTCCCTTTCTTCTTCTTCTTCTTCATCGACATACAGATTTTCTCATTGCTTTTCTCCGTCACGAAATTTTCTCGCCGCGGATTTCTTGCGGAAAGGCCGCTGTTTTTAGCTGGTTAGTGGTTCACTATCATCTCTCAAACTGATAAATTTCTTTGTTATCTGTATTTACTTGATGCAACGTGTGTGGGTTTGGATCTTGTTCTCTTTCAATGTGATAAGTTTTGTGAAGAAAAAAAATTAATCTATGATTTGTTTCCGGGAAAATGGTTGGCGGAAATTGAAATGATTCAATTGGATGTTTTTAATTGCCTTTCTCTCTCCTACTACTGACTTCGGAGCTAACAGTTGAAAGATCAAGATACTGAGATTCTTATCTATCAGTTTTTGTTTTTCCTTCTGTGTGATATTTTTGAATTTTCTCCTTAAAAGATAACGCATCGGATTTTGTTTACTTATATATTTCATGCATTAGTTCTACGATGACTATTTTCCTTTGGAGAGTCTTTTGATCAAACCATGACTGACATGGTAATGCTGATTTCTAATTCTCCCTATACAAGTTGAGTTAAAATGAATCTCAACTGGGTTGCTGTTAATGGTAGCAAAATTATAGCTAGATGGTTTCAAATATGAGTTGCTGAGGGATATACGTATTTGGTTTTGGTGCCTTTTATGGTGTAGGAATTAGGATGTTAGCTAAAACCATGACAAATTGTTTAATACTTTGGCAATGAAAGTGACACTTTGCAAGAGGAACACGTTAAGATTATGATCCTCAAAAAGAAGTAGTTTTACAAATGGGAACTGATAATTTGGATCTGTGGAAGTGGATGGTTAAAAATGATTCTGACAGTACCCCAATTGTGTCTGTGTATGCGACTATATACGTTATTCTCCCTGCTTCTTCATACCCTGAAAAGAAAACAAAAGAAGAATAAATTTATGGCTGAAAAAAAAAAGAAAGCGATCCTTATTGGAATTTTTGGCTGAATGGATTTTTGCAATAGTAGTAATCGATAGCTGACTTCATATTGTATTTGGAGCAGAAATTTATAATGTCTGAAGGTGTAATTTGACATAGAGCTTCTTCATTCGAGGACTGATCAACACATGCCGCAGGGGAGAACTCCCGTAATGGAGCTAAAACCGGCTTACGATATCGAACATATGAGTTCTACTCAGAGAATTCAGCATGAGTTTTGGCCATTGGGTCCAATCGACACGAAGAAGGCCAAGTTTCCATGTTGCTTAGTCTGGACTCCTCTCCCAGTAGTCTCTTGGTTGGCACCTTTTATTGGACATGTTGGGATTTGCAGGGAGGATGGAGCTATTTTAGACTTTTCCGGTTCCAATTTTGTGAATGACGACAATTTTGCGTTTGGTGCTGTTGCCAGATATCTTCAACTTGACAGAGAACAGGTATAGTGACATATGCTTCCTGAATTTATCATGTCATCGGATGTTTTTTATTATATTCACCTACCACTTCAGTCACCAAAAAGAACAGACCTGTTCATGAAATTGTTTATGAAAGCGTAAATGGCTCTTAAATAAAGAAAAAATTGTTCTTCTCTCACTATATATGCACCTTGTAAATATAACAGTGTGATTCACTGGATGAAGACCCTACTTTGGTGAATGAACTTGAAAAATCGAGTTAGCACAACGACTAATTTTTAGTGATGTTTAATTTGATTAGCTCAACAGGAACAGTCGAACTTATAATTTTTTTCATTGTAGCTTTTCTTCTGTCATTTTAGAAGGAAATAGAAAGGGTCAGAAGATATTGTGGACTTTTTCCTTGTTATGTATTTTTTTTTTTTCCCTCTCTCGTAACTATGTAATGTCCTCTTGGTTAAAGAAAAGGTCGTCCTTTTTTCATTGTTTCAAAACCGATTGGCTCATTAAAATGTGAAATGTCAAAACAGTGTTGCTTTCCCCCAAACCTGGCCGGGCATACCTGCAAGCACGGTTACAAGCACACGGAGTTTGGTACTGCAATCACTTGGGATGATGCGCTGCAGTCGAGTGTGCGTCACTTCGAGCACAAAAGTTACAACCTTTTCACTTGCAACTGCCACTCGTTTGTAGCAAACTGTTTGAATCGGCTTTGCTATGGCGGATCGATGAATTGGAACATGATAAACGTAGCAGCACTGGTACTGTTTAAGGGGCATTGGGTTGGTTGCTTCTCAATCTTAAGGTCATTCCTTCCTTTCATGGTGGTTCTCTCCTTTGGTGTTTTCATGGTCGGCTGGCCCTTCTTAATTGGCCTTCTTTCCCTTTCTCTACTCCTTCTTGGTTGGTTTCTTTTAGGCACTTATTGTGTTAAAAGCTTGTTGGAGTGCTAGTTGTTTTTTTTTTAAATTTTTTAAATTTTTAATTTTTTTTTATGTGTCAGTACTGTTTTTGGAACGCTTTGATGGTGAAGAACTAGAAAATGTCACTAGTTTTCCACTACAGCGAACTTGCAATTGTAGATTATTGATTTAGAAGTGAAATTCTATGGTAGGATAAAATAAAGGGTTTATAACACAATTGCCTTCCGAACTTAATGCGGTTTAGCAAGTTGTCTCTCAAACTCTACTTTTATCAATCAACCTCATAAATTTGTAAAATTGTTGCAATATGCTTCATTTTACTTAAGTTGTTCAAATTTTTTTTATTAAATTTAAGGGATTAAAAGTTGAGAAATTAAAAATTTTGTGCCACATTCGAATTGAGATATTAGAATTTTTATCGAACGTGTTTTTTAATACTAATTTAACACAATCACCATAAAAATGAAACATATTTTTAATAATTTTATAAGTTGAAAGGATAATTTACCAAAATTAAAAATTCAAGAATAAATTGTTAAAATCATACAAGTTTAGGGGCTAAATGTGTAAACTACCTTCAAATAAAACCCCTACCAATTGTATAGAGTTTAGAACTGTCAGATAATGGACTCAAATCTCATGTTCAATTTTAGTGTCTTAATTGATGTTGACCAATCATATCATGTTACGTTATGTAAAATATTTAAATTGCTTTTTAATTAATTATTTGGTGCTTATCATGAAATGATTTAGTGTGATTTAATTGGTTGAACACCAATTAGAACACTAAAAATTGAACAGAGGATTCCATAAAAATCAAGAATTGCGCAGTCTCGATAAGGAAAAAAAAAAAAAAAAGGTGCCACTCTCTGTTCTCTATTGTTTCTAGTTTTCATTAATAATCTTACAGACTTGCACCGTTGTGGATCGTTTGAACCCCTTTCTAGAATGCTAAAGAACTTTTATAAACAGAGTCGTCAACAAAGTTATTAGTGATTGGCAGTTCAACAAAGTTTATGAGACAACTCTTAAAAATTCTCATTAGAACTAGCTCTATAGTCGGTTTTTTCTTCCTTTCTCATACTAGAGAAAAGGGCTCATCATTATTGTATATACGTAAACTCGTCAAAAAAATACCCTCTCATGCTCCATACTTGGGTGCTTTCCAAAGCTTGAAGGCTACCTCATGCAGAAACCTATCCGCTGGTATTATAAGATTTCCCCCGTACTACACAGAAAATGAAAAATACTTTGTCAATTTTAGAACTATAAACCGAAGAAGACAGAGATCCATATAGAGTTAAATCTACCACTAGTCAATTTAAGAAAACATAATTGAAGGAGATAAAGCTTCATATATAACTGAATCTAGAGATATCATATACCACTAAAAGAAGATTTAGCAATTGAACGTGTTCATATCAAACGGTACCTCCTTGAAATCTTCAAAAGAAAATGTCTCTGCTGTATCCTTGCGGGTCACGGCATATTGCCATTGAGCAATTAGCATTGGACAATAATGCCTGTCCAACACCAAATTAGCTTCAGCCATAAGGAATTTTCCAGCATTAAAAGAAACCGCTTAAGTATTCACTCACCTAACGTCCTTCCTTTGATTCTCTCCTCTCATGGTGTAACTTTGACGAGGAAACAACGATGAAAGATTGGCGTCTTTCTCCGTTTCTGAAATTAGAACCGATGTTTTCAAACAATCATCATCCTCGGAGACACTCCCATAGCTCATAACAACAGAGAAGTGTAGGCGTGAGCCTACATCGGATCCGGGTTCGGCCAAGTTCAGTATTTCTCCCACCAAAGAATTGACATACTCCAAAGCATTGGCAACAGTCTTGTCCTCTTTCTCACCAGGCCCAATATGTACAAAAACTAAATCAAATTGGCTTATGTCTAGAGTCTTCCCTTCTTGAAACCCAAGCAGCTTTAGCAGCTCAGAAGCCATGAAAGAATTCTCTGCGTTTTTAGTAAAATCTTTCGACTCCAACACCGTGAAGCCAAGCTTTGTACCAAAAGATTCCAAACTTGAATTATTAGTGATTACAGCAGCTTTCATTCCCATGAAACTGAAGTGTTGATTAAGAAACACGTTAGCTGCTATATTATAAAACAAAAGTTTGACATATAAAACCAAAAGGATTGAAACCTTTCTGATATGGTTGGAATCAAGGACTTGTTTTGACATTCATCATTAGTGGTATCCCCCTTCTGAAAAACCAAAGCACATCAAGAAAACCTATTTATCATGTGAAACTACAATCAAAGCGTAATAAAGGCAATATAGAACTCACCCAATTGAGATAAGCTTCCCAAGAATCTAACAGTAATGCAAATTCCCTAACTATTCTCTCATCCTCGCTTTCTGCAAATCTACATCCAAGTAAATTCCAATTCTGGGAAGATGGATAATTACATTCCAAAAAGGGCACTGACAGATTAGTAACAATGCAATAATACTATTTGGATTGTTGTTCCTTTTTTTGAGCTTCAAAACAACCAAATGTAGAAAAAGACACTGAACTTGCAACCCCATCAGTATTTGCATGCAATTTTGAGCCCTAATATCGGTGAAACTCCAAAAAAAAAGTAAAAATAAATCAATTTATGAAGAGTAAAGTCAATAAAAATGAAGTAGAAGAGCCCAGATTCCAAATGAATGAAAAGGAAATTTAATGGAACTCCACACCAATTGATCATCGTTAATGCCGATGAAACAACCATCACAGATTAAGGTTCAAAAGTAAGAAAAAGTTACATCTTTGCGTTTCTGCCCCGTTGTTTCATCATTTTATCGGCGAAAAGGCAAAAGGGCCCTTTGAATAAAAATCTCTATTTCCAAATTCAAATGGAGAAAAATTGCGAAGGAGAGAGAGAGAGAGAGAGATTAAAACCTGATAAAGGAGCATTGGGAAGGCTCAAAAAACCGCAGGAGGCTTTGGAAGCGAGAGAATGGAGATGGGTATGCGATGGGTCGACGAAACGGGCCAACCCGTCTCCGTACACAACCAGAGCTCGGCTTGGTTTGTCTGCCATTGCTTTATTCTCTAATCTCTTTGCTTTTGCTTTCGGAAGTAACCAGCTTGAGCTTTCTGGGGAGAGAGAGAGAGATAGAGAGATCTGATTTTGCAATGCTTGGGGCTAAGCTAAGTGGAATATTCCGAAAAAAAAAATTCTAACTTATTATTTACGTTACTACATAACATTTTTAATTTTAAGGGTTGTTCTTTTAAAGTGTGATTTGAGTGTAGTTTTTAAGTTAAATTTGAGTTATAATTTGAGTTAAAATTGTAACTTGAATAAAGTTGAGTAAAATTAAATAAAATTAAAACTTAAAAAAATGTGAACTTGAATAAAGTTATAACTTGAGTTTAAATTTTTTTAAAATTTTATTGTAAAAAAACAACCCTTAATGTCTGAAAACTAACTAATAAAATATAAAAAATAAATAACCTAAAAATAATCAATAGGCTACGAAAAGATAACTTATAGAGTTACGAGAAATAACCTATTAAAAAAATAACTTACAAATTACAAAAAAATAAGCATAAAATAAATTTAATAATAATGATAAAAATAAAATAATATTATTATGTTGATCGCATTCTTCAAAATTTCCTAAAGTATAATACGGTGGTTGAGGGCAACGACAGAAGCCCTTAGAATCTTTAGTCCAAATTGAAATTAAGGGGAAAATTTATAACGTGTTGTTACGATGTTTTTGGTGGTGCAAAACCTGAATTAATTGTGAAAAAAGATGTTGTTAGTGACAACTTGGTGATTAAGTTAACTCGATTATAGTTTGGTTTCATTAAAAAATAGAAAACATTAGTCAGTGTCATACTTCCCACCTAAAAAGTAATAGCAAATATTATGTAGTGTTTGGTATGAAGATTCGTGACTCGTTATAGTATTTTCTCTCGTAAAAAACACATGTAAACCGAAAATAATTTTAAATCATGATTCTGAATCTATAAACCAAAACGTCCACTTAATATATACAGAACATAATATCCAAAAAAAAGAACGAAATTTTATTTATGATGTTTAAGTGAAAGCTTTGCTTTGTCATGAATCAATACTCATAAATCATTAACAAATCTTGTAGCAGAAAACAAACTATCAATCTCTTTATAACTTACTGATAGTCGGTGTCACTTTTATACTCCCCGCCAATAATAATGACAAACTGAAAGTCTCTTTATAGTATTGAAGTAAAAGCTTTGCTTTCTCATGAATACTTTATTAACAAATCTCGGGGCAGAAAACAAACTGAATTAACAAATGAATATATCATTTTTCATTTTAATTTTTTGTTTTTGTTTTTGTGTCCTTTCTTTTGGCTGAAGTAACAAATCAACCATTTAGCAAAACAGAGAATGGAAAAGAACATAACTTGGAGCATTAGCAGTCATCTGAGAAGTTTGATATTGATTAACTGGTCCATGAAATTTGTGATCAGTTTAATCAGTATAATGAAAGAGAGAGTTGGAACGAACACTGTTTACCAAAACCAATGCATGTAATAATTTTTTACAGTTTAGACAAAACTTTCACCTAGTCAGCAACATCTTTTGAGTTTAACCGAAAACAGAATCTAAAGCATTAACAACTTCATAATCAATCAATAGCAAGAACTATGCACACTGTACAACGATCTGAACCATATACAAAACTTGATAGCAAGGTAAGGCTTTTGACGCAAAGATTTTCAAATGCAGCCTTCCCAGCTCAGCCTTGCACTGAATAATAGCGTTGTTTTCTCCATTTCCAGCTATGAACGGTCCGAAAGTATAAAAATTTCAACAAACAGTGCCGAAAAAGCAGTTCTCTAGGACTGAAAAGCCCCAAAGTTCTCATTCCTCAACCTGAGAGTTAAAAATGAAGCTTGGAAATACTGTGGTGATGTCCCTAGATATTGAAAGTGTTAAAAAGGCATCAATTGCTCTGAGCAATATTGGGGACATAAAAAGCTGAGAGAGAAAGATTCAAAGGAAAATATAAGAGAAGCATATAAAGACATATAGGGGTAAGTTATATACTTCAAATAAGGAAGTGTCATGTTCTTCAAGAGGGTTGGATGTTGAACAGCAAAAGCCTTCCATTCTTCTTTGTTGATTCGACCGTCTTTGTCAGCATCAGCGTCAGCAAATGTCTGCCAGAAAATGGGACAAACCTCTCATTTGTTATATCCTTTAAAAGATGACCGACGTAATCGAATTCAGCACTTACCTTATCAATAATAGCCTCAAGGAGATCATCCGACAATTTCACGTCACATTCCATCATTATAGCAATCACCATTTGCTTAACCTGAAATCAAAGAGAGGCCACTTAGCCAACAAAAGAAAATGCAGATTTTACCAAGCGCATCCTTAGCACTGCACAACAAGACGCTTACTTCTTCTCGCTCGATGAATCCTGTTTGTCTCAGATCATACAGCCGAAATGCGACTGTTAAAAATCAACAGCAAACAAAAATGGGATAAGTTCATTTGTTACCTTTGATTTTATGAATCAAAAAATTGCTTCTTGAACACTTACAATCAATTTTTTCTTCTAAAGGGGCATAAGGATGGAAGACACTGAGTGAATGGACGAACTCATCGAACTCAATAACACCATTTTTCTTTTCATCAAAAAGATCAAAAACCTACATAAGCAAAATAGAGCAGTTGGAATAAATACAGTAATTCAAATATCCCACGAACTTATTCATTAGCGAGATCGTGGTTAAAAACAACATATTCAGATCATAAAAGCCAATTGAACAACATAAAAGGCATTCACAAATCACGTGACTTCCATATTTATGATGCTCAAAAGATATTAGACTGGTTTGATTTGAAAAATATCTAGTTTTATGGCAGCAAACCATTGAAAATCTTGTCAATTATAAGAGTGAACATGATAGAAATTGCCTGACATATTTACCCGGTCCAGAAAAAGATTTTCTCCATGTGGAGTTTGGAACAGCGCCAATTGAAGCTCTTCCTAGAAGATGGCAAACAAAACATTTTAAGAATAATAACCAAAACTTTCTGTAAGTCAATAATTTTTTAAAAAAAATTACCAAAAGATCTGAATAGCCCATAAACCTCACTACTTAGAAAGTTTGTGGAGATCTTTCTAGTGCAACTCGAACTCAAATGTTTTGATTTATGACTTCATCGTAGACTAGTGATGTATGAACATAAGTCACAAATATAAATCGTAGAAATAAAAATAAATAAATAAAAAACACCTACACCGCACCTTATTTCAGTGAACTGTAGAAACGTATGTTTTATTTTGCCAATCCGGTGTAAATTAACTTGTGTGCTACTTTGAAGTCTAGTTATTCATCTACGCCACTTTCATACGTAACCAAGTTTCTTATAAAAGTGGTATTCTCTCTAATTCACCAAGTGTCGGGAGTATTGAACAAATTTCTGGATTGACATAACCCCCACTAACATATTTCTATTTCAGACTTTGCATTCAAGCCCCAAAGTATGAATAATTTCTTTCGAATTGGCAGCGCAAGTAATAACGGCACACCTTGTGAATTGAGCCGTCGTCAAAAATTGAACTACTCAACTTCTTGAACAGCTCGTACAATGCCTCCACTTCGCTTACAGAAACTGCATAATTTCCATGCGCAACATAATTTAAAAAATAAAGCGAACCAAAAACCAAACTCCAGAAAAAGCATATGTCAAAGAAATTCTACTAACAAAAATCGACAAAAATGATTTAAAAAAAATGCTTTTTGGTTCAATACATCGGGTCTCATCTGCGAGGCAAGCGATATCTCCGGATTGGTAGCGACGATTCTTCGGAATGGGACTTCGGAAATCGAAGCAATCGGTAACCGCCCATATCAACAGCTCCACCACCGCTATAAGCGGTACAAACGCCACGCAGATCCGTTCCCCAAACGTCAAAGAGCCCGATCTCTGTTCGAATCAATTTCACAATACCATCAATACAGATAAACAGAATCGCATTTGCATGATTTTGTTTTTGAAAAAAAAATGGTGGCTTTCAACTTTGCTTCGTACGTTTACCGTCAAATCCATAGTCGGCGGCTAGAACTCATCAGAGCTCAAAAGAATTCTACGGCCGTGTTTAATAATTCTCTCCGAAAATAACCGTTTGGTCGTACGATAATAATTGTCGAAAGCGAGCAGGAACGGAGTTGCCCTCATGTAGCTCCGTCCATAAAAGCGAGAAGCTTCCCAACCCTGTCTTTTTTCTCGAGGTGGTCCGGTTCGTTTTGGGAGAAAGAAAGACGATGAAATATGGAGATTGGAGGTGAAGACGAGGGTGACACCTTTTGTTTTATTATATTATGTATATATTGTTTGTTTCGTTGAATTACGTTCTTTTTTTTATTCTTTCAGCGAGAGCAAATGAGTACTAGGTTGGAATTCTTCTGGATGCGTGGTAAATTTACCAATTGCTTCGTGTGAGAAAAATATTTATGAACACCATAATAAAAAAGAGTAAGAGTCTGTTTGGTAAAAGGATTCGAACTATAATTTAAATAATAGTTTGTTATAATATTTTTTCTCACAAAAAACACACGTAAATTAAAAATAATTCTAAATTCTTTTACCAAACCGACTCTAAATCTTATTTGTCATGATAGGATTAAATATGGATGCATTAGTGGAAAATTTGGCGGTTTTCAAACGTTATGGTGCAGTTTTATAAAAGGGCAATTTTAGAAAAACTCAAATCAAGGCTGCATGTTCTAAACGGCAGGTGGGGTGGTTTGAGCCTTTGAGGTGGGCAGGTGGCTTGCGATTAGGACGGTTTGAGCCTTATTAGATACTTGTTAAAAAAATGTTAAAAAACAATAAAAACATAAAACAAATTTGTTGTATGTTTTTACTGCATTTTAAGACAATTATTATTAATTTACTATACTTTTAAACTATAAAAACGATGATCAACATTAAAACAATCATTATCAAAACAAATATTTTATAATTTATGCATAATAGTAATTACAGACGGTTTGAACCGCGGTTTGATGAGGTGGGCAGTTTTGATAAACCACGATTTGGGTAAAACTCAAACCAAAACCGTCCAGTATGCAAGGTGGGGCGGGGTGGTTTGAAACCGTGGTTTGGAGGTTAGATGATGTGACACGTAAATGGCGGTGCAAGTTGACGGTTTTTTTTTTTTACAGCCCCAGTTAAATCCCTAATTTATGACAAAAAGTGGACCCATTTCTATGAAAGAGTGGGAATATATCTCCATCTGATTATAGAACGTTTTTCAATAGAAAAGTTGTGGAATCCACAAGATTCAGCTTGTGATGCTTCACACGGATAGGACCTCAAAGGTTTTCTTGTGAACAAGGACTTCAATGATAATCTATCCTCTTAAATCCTCTAGCGTGTTCAAGTGATTCCTGGGAACCATAATTTGATAGCGACATGTGTGAGAAAACAAATACAAGCTTATGATAAATGCAGAGTGCACACGGCACTTCTATTTCTTGTTTTGTTTTTATTTTTTAGTTTATTTTTTCTTTTTTTCTTTTTCTTTTTCTTTTTTTACCAAACACCACTCTTGATAATTCCTTGGTCTATAACTAAGGATCTCGTTGTAAAGCTGCTTTCGGATTATAGATTAGTCACAATTATCTGTCGCCGATCTCACCTGAGAATGCCATGATGGCATACTTTTTGGTGTTGCCATTTTGATAAAACGACTTTATGAAATAAGCGCAAGGCACTTGCGCGCACGTTCCGAGTTGTAACATACAATAAAATAATCGAAACGACTTTCAATTTCAAGCAATACAATAAAAAGGACCTAAATTCTGCATTATGTTTTCTTAACACTATAGATTTTTTGTGGTTGTAACAGTGTTGAAACTTTAGGCAGCGGCTATGCTTGGAGCTCAATTTTTTTTAAGCTCGGCGGACAAAATTCTATGTCTGCCTGTCCAGCTTAGGTTTTAGGCTTGGGTTTGGGCAGCCCGAAAAAAAAATTGAAACCAAGCCTGCTGCCTTGTGTATCCCATGCCCGATTGCCTGTCAACGTCTGTCGGATTGCCTGCCCGATTGCCCGTTCAATGGCTAGTTTTTTGAATGTTAGTGCCCGGCCCGATCGCCGACCTGAAAGCCTGACTACAACGGCTATATTTTGTGCCGTTGCCCGAGAAGCCTGAACCACCAGCCCGAAGCTTGACACGCCAATCAAAAACTAGCCGTTGGATTCAAAAATTTAGGGGAAAATTGATGTTTTTACCTCAAAAATTTTCGTAAAAATACCCCCTCCCCTAAACATTTTCTTCACAATATTTTTCACATTCTCTCTCAATCTATCTCACTTTTGTCTCAAATCTCTCTCACAATTTGTTCACAAGCTCACACAAAATCCTAAAGCTCTCTCTCTCAAAGTGCTCTCATTTCAAGTCTCAAAGCTCTTTTCAACTTTAAGCTCTCTCAAGCTCATTTTTTAATTTCATTTTTATAATGGTGTCCTTTTGTTATGGTGATAATGCCGTTGATCCTCAAAGTCCAATTCCTACTAATGTTTTTACTATGCAGGAATCGCAAACACAGGCACCTGAGGAACAATGTCCAATTCCAAATCTTGACCGTGGTGGATCTAGTGGAGGTCGTGGTTGCAATAGTGGGCGTGGAGAGGCAAGTGCTACTGCAAGTATTGCAACCTCCAAGAGAAAATGCAAGTGCACCTCCACAGTTTGGGAGCACTTTGACAAATTTGTGGAAGTCGACAATAACGGTATCACTAAACACATAGCTCAATGTAAATATTGGCATTCTAGTTTACAATGTGACACTATTCATGACACAACACACTTGAGAAGATACTCTGAAAAGTGTCTTCTCAAGCGTGGCCAAACCGGCGGATCCGAACTCCGCCAAACACAATCAATTATCATTTGATCGTGCAACCAGTGGTCTAACCACTTGAAAATACGATCCGCAAGTTGACCGTATGGAAGTTGCGCGATTGATAACAACATTAGATCAACCACTTAGTTTTGTTGACCATCCTAATTGGCACCGTTATATTAAAATTGTCCATAATCCTAATGCACAATTTTTTTTTTTGAAAGCTACTCTTAGGAAAGATTTGTTAAAATTATTTAAACAAGAAAAAGAAGCATTAATTAACCTTTTGCACTCTACTAGCGGTTGCGTTGCGTTAATGAATGATATTTAATCTGCTGTTGCCAATAAAGATTATTTATCTGTAACCAGACATTATTTCAAATGTTTCGATTTAGATAAGAGAATATTAGGTTTTAAATGTGTTCTAAGATCACATAGCGCTGATCTAATATATAATAAAATTTTAAATGTCATTGATGAATATAGATTAAGGGATAGAGTGATTGCTATAATATTAGATAATGCTAGTGCAAATACTAAAGCAATTGAATATTTTAAAAATGATTTAAGTTTATTCGGTGATGGTACTATATTTCACTAACGTTGTGCATGCCATGTAATTAATTTAGTAGTAAAATCCGGTTTAAAATCAAGGGTTATTCATATAAAAAGAATTAGAGATATTATTGCATGGATTTAAGGTAGTAACCAAAGAGAACAAGATTGGTTTAAGTTTTTACAATCAGTAAATCTAACTCCTAGAGCATTAGCCCTAGATATGCCTGTAAGATGGAACTTAACTTATATAATGCTTCAACAATGCCTCCCCTATAAACATGCTATAACAAACTATATCAATTCAAAATTAGGAGTATGACATATAGACCCATATGATTGGCAAATTGTCAAAATTTTGTATCAATTTTTAGGTAGGTTTCATAAAGTTACTTTAAAACTTAATAGAACACATTATCCAACATCACCTTTAGCTTTAGGTGAACTTTTAAGAATTAGTATTTTATTTAGTGAATTTAGGGATGGCCCAATTTTAGGAATTCTTATCGCTTTTATGGAAAAAAAAGTTTAAAAAATATTGGTCTCAATTACCTATGTTGTATGGTTTCAGTATTATTTTTTATCTTAGATTAAAATTAGAAGGTTTAGAAAGTGGTTTAGAAAACTTAGGTGAGTTTTTAGACATCGATTGTTCTGACCAATATCCTTTAATAAATGATAAAATATTTTCTCTCTATTGTGTTTATGAGAATAGGTTTATAAACACCGTTTGTGGAGTACAAGAACCGCAACAAATAGATGAAAACCCGCATTCATTCATGAATATTTTCGGGTTGAAGAAGAAGAAGACTCAAACAGAAGTTGGGAGTGGATCTTCATAAATAGGTGGGGGTGGCAGTGGCAGCGATGGCGGCTTCAACGAGCTTATGGCGTACCTCAGCGAGAGCTTAGTAGTCACGATAGTAGAGAAGTGTTTTTGATTTAGTTCAATAATGGAGGGCACGAGCATTAACTTGGCCAGTCCTAACTCGATCGACGATGGATATTTTTTTTATTCCAGTTTCCACTGTTTCATCCAAACAAGCCTTCACTACGACCGGAAGAATACTTGAGGAATGTTGAAATGCATTGCAAAGGGATATTGTTGAAGCTTAGGTGTGCATTAAGAATTGGGATCGTGCCAAGCTTAGGTGTGCATTAAGAATTGAGATCGTGCCAATCAATGTTTACAAAATACAATTTCGTCGGCAAACCAAGAATGGATAGATGAATTTAATAGATTAACATTTTGCTTTAAAGGTGATCTTTCAATTTCAAATTAAATTGTAATTTATAAATCTTTATTTGCTTTGGACATTGTAATTGTAATAGTGTATATTTGGACTGTGTAATTTTGTAAAATTTGTAATTGATCACAAAATTATTGCACTCTTTTTTCCTTACTAAGTTTTTATCCCAATTGAGTTTTTCTTGGTAAGATTTTTAACGAGGCAATCATAAATTACAAATTTAAAAATTAATAAACAAAATTAATTTTTCTGAATTGTGTTAATAGTGTGTGTTGATTTTAATCTTAATTATAGTTTTTACATAATTTTTACAATAAACAACTTAATAATTATTTATATACAAATGCAATTAATAAACAATATTATATATAATATATATACAATATTATAAAAATTAAAACAATATATAAAAATTCAGGCTTATTCAGTCGGGCTCAGGCTACCTAACTGGGCGCGGACAGCCAAGTCTTGCCCGAAGCCCGTTCAAGGAAGATTTTGGGTTCGGGCGGGTGGGCTCAGGCAACGGACACAAATTCAGTTTTTCGGGCGGTCACAGGCGGCCCGTCTAAAGTTCCAACACTAGTTGCAAGTAAATCCTACAATAATTTCACATTTAACTCCATCATAAAGTGAAAAGTTAGAATCTCGCACCTTAAAATTTAA